CACCTCTTCAAACTTTCCTCTAATTCCAATTGTTAATGATGTTGAAACTTGATGTAGATACGGATTTTCTGATTTTTATTAAAACACTACTACTTTAATATTAAGAATAATTTAGTTCTTTCAATTTTAATTTTGGTACTTAATAAAAGTTTTGAAATTGGGGTGGGGGCTTTTATTATTTTTGCTCATACAGGAGGAGGGGTCTAAAACCATTCAAATCTTGTTTATGTAATTGTTTAACGGCCCCTAACGCAATGAATTCATTACCTAAATATTTTAATTGTCTAAATTTTAAAAACTAATCATAAATGGTTGGCAGTATTAATAGTGAGTGTCAATTAGTGATGTGAGTTGGGTAAATACCCAGTGGGTAGGTAAATAAATTGTGAGTTTTTACCCGGTATTTTTCCAAGAGATACTTACCTACCCAAAAACATAACCTAAAATAATTTAATGTTTGTTGGTTATAACACTTGGCAGTCACGACAAGGATGTTATTACTCATAGTCAATCTACAAAGCAGGTGATATTATTTGTTAATACTCAGTCAATCTTCACTCTCATTATGGGTACAAGAAGAAAAGTTGTCTGGCAATTTTACAACAAGAAAGAAAAAGCATTTTGCAATAAACCGTTTGAGTTTTCAAATGTGATTAAAATGGAAAAACACACATTGAAGTGTTTACACTGTCCCATAAATATAAAATCTTGCCAAAGCTGTGCTACTCAGTAGGACTCCTTTATCAATGGTAGAACATCCATTATGGATTTAATTCTTCAAACAAATAAGGCCCTCTTTTGTATTGCCTTCTCTAGGTGTCTACATCGTGTTGCCACATCTTACTTGAATAATAAATTGAGGCACTGCAGAGCGAAATAACAGCAGATTTAAAAGATTCGAAAAATTTGCATTTGCAATGTGACGGATGAAGTAACCTTCGTTACGAGTCAATTGTTAATTTTGTTATCACCAAACCGAAACCACGGTTTATCGACTTTATAATTACCAAAACCAACAGACGCCGAATATTTGTCAAATCAAATGCAGAATGTGTTAGAAAAGTATGGGCCTGAAAAATGTCTAGTTATCATTGGTGACAATGCTGCAAATATGAGAGGAGCTTTTCGATTATTAATTGAAAACTTCGATTACATTTTGCCATTAGGCTGTATTGCTCACCTACTGCATTTAGTTTAGAATGACATATTGAGCTGCGAGTCTATCAAAACATTTATGACAAAAGTTACAGGTGTTATAAAAACTATCAAAAACAGTCATATTCTTCAAGATGTGTTTATTAAAATCACCAAAGAAAATAAAATCAATGTTTCTCTGAAACTAGCTGTAAAAACACGATGGGGAAGTCATTTGTTCTGTCTACAGAGCCTTAGCCTAAATAAAAGTGTTCTACAAACACTAGTGATAAGTGACGAAGTATCTGTAACACTATCAAAACAACTAAAAACTTTATTACTTGACTGACGATTCTATATTTTGGGTACAAGTTGACAAAATGATAAATATTTTGAGGCCAATTGTTGATTAGTCTCCACTGAAACTTTATACTAAAAAAATCCGTCGAAAACTCGAGATCAAAAAAATCATGATTCCTATACTTTCCTTGTCTGTAAATAGATCGGAAAGTAAAAACGAGCGAAAGAAAAGATTTTGCAATAGGAAAAATAAGTTTAGCTGCAACCATGTTGGTTCCATCCTTCCAATGTTATCAGTTGACTACAGAAGAAATAATGGATGCCGTAGAATTTATAATTGACACAGCCACAAAAATAGGATTGGGACTAAAAATCGGCGAAATTAGGGATCTTCTAGCAGATTATAGAGATAAGGAAGGCATATTGTCGAAAAGGTTTATCTGGGAAGGAATGAAAGAGATCAATCCTCTTACTTAGTGGAGAGGTATCTGTGACACAAATTTACTAGCGGACGTTGCAATTAGGATTATGAGTGCACCTGTAACTTCTGCTGCTACTGAACGATCCTTTAGCACTTAGTGGAGAGGTGTCCGTGACACAAATTTACTAGCGGACGTTGCAATTAGGATTATGAGTGCACCTGTAACTTCTGCTGCTACTGAACGATCATTTAGCACTTTCAGCTAGATCCATAGTAAAAAAAGAAATCGATTGACTACAGAAAGAGCTGCCAAAATTACTTACTTAGCCCACAATTGGACATTTCTATTGTCCAACCAGATTGATTCAGACAATTCAGATATTGTGAAATAAATGTTTTAATTTCAATAAATATTTTTCATACCAATTGCTCAAATTTAATAGATATAGAGAAATTTACCCAATTTGGGTAAATATTTTTGGGTATTTTCACGGGAATTTTCCCGCAAAAATAAATACCTGGGTATTTTACATCACTAGTGTCAATTAAGTCATACTACGAGGGTATATTAAATATATACGGGACCGTTTGGATTAAAAATTCCTGAGCGGTTATTGATCTGGAAAGAATTGATGGACAGTTAGGCTTTACCTCTGGGGAGGGGAGAAAACTGATCAGAATTCGCCGCGTCTCTTTAGTATGCAAAAAAACCATGAGCGAGAAAGAAGTGCATGTTTCCGTGGAGCAACAGATTATAATAAAGTTTTTGGCAAAGGTGGGCCTAAAACCAACCGAAATTTTGCGACGTTTGCATAGCACCAAGAATTTTCTGGAGGGCGTGAAAAGGTCGAGAACAAGAGCCATGCTCGCCGCCCAAGGACAAGTGCGACCGAAGCCAACATTAAGGCGATCCAAAACATGGAGAGAAATCGCCAATTAACTCTCTGGAATATCGTTGAGGAACTGAACATCAGTTACGGGAGTGTCCACCGGATCGTGACAGATGATTTGGGATTTCGCCAGTGTCCGCTAGATGGGTTCCACGTCTGTTATCGGAAGATCAGTCGATTAGAGAGGTTTCGCAGCGTCTCTTCGATCGATTCCAGCAAGAGGGTGAAGCATTTTTGAATCGCATAGTCACCGTTGACGAAACTTGGCTACACCATTACACGCCCAAGTCTAAACAGGCGAGTATGGAATGGAGAAAAAGCAGCGAGGGGGCACCCTAGGTGAAAGCAAAGACGCGATTGTCAGCCGGAAAGCAACTGTGTTTTTTGATCGGCTAGGTGTTTTTCACGTTGACTTTCTATACGATCAACGCACGATTAATGCACAATATTATTGTGAGGTACTGGATGCCGCAAAATTGTCATTTCGCAGAAAAAAGAAAGAAGCAATCGGTTAGAAATGTCATTCTTTTGCATGCCAACGTAAGACCTCATGTGGCTAATGTCACGAGGGAAAGTTGTAAACATTTGGATGGGAAATATTGGAAAATCCTCCCTATAGTCCAGACCTTTCCACTTGTGACTTTCAAATCCTATTTGAGTCAACGTGTCATAGTGCATAATTCCGTATCATATGAAGTTTCAGTCCTATCCGGTGTTCCTCAAGGTTCACATATAGGTCCCTTATTGTTTTCCTTATTCTTTAATGATGTTACGTTCTGCTTTCTTAATAGCCAATGTCTTCTTTTTGCGGATGATTTAAAGTTTTTTAGTAGAAACACTGGTAATACATTACAGTCTGACCTAAACAGGTTTGCTACCTGGTGTAAAAATAACGCTCTTTCTGTAAATATTTCTAAGTGCACAACCATGCATTTTACAAGATCCCACAATCCTACTCTTAACTGTTACAGTATTGACAGCGTCAACCTAGATAGATCCTCGACATTATTTTTGATACCACAATATCTTTTAACAACCATATAGATTCCATAGTATGCAAAGCCCTCAGAATGCTTGGCTTCATCAAGAGACATACTAGGTACGTGAATGACACAAAAGCAATCATGATACTTTACAATGACCTGGTGAGAAGTGTCATGGAATACTGTTCTGTCATTTGGCAACCTAGTTACAACTGTCATATCAATAGAATTAAAAGGGTGCAACGTAATTGGTAAAATACCTGCTCTTTAAACACCGATTTCATAGTCATGACACTTGTTATCAAATAAGATTAATGCTTTGTGGCATGCAGAGCCTGGAATGCAGAAGAAAACAGGCTTTACTCCTATTCCTGACTAAATTAATAGGTGGTTCCATCAAGTGCGGGTCACTGCTTGAGAGAGTTCAACTATTGGTTCCTGTCCGACGGACTCGGCACACAGCACTTTTAAATGTAAAAAGACAGAACCAATTACGGACAAAGTGCATTTATTGATCGCTTATGCAAGAACTATAACAAATTTTACTCAGACTGTGATATATTTAATTGTAATATTTTGGCGCTGAAAAGGAACTTGCAACTCCTGAATGTCTAAGTTTTACTCGTGTCGTCCCGCGGTGTTGTGTTATTCTTCTTTTTCTTAATATTTTATATATATTTTTTAATTTATTTTATATTGTTTTTAACTCTACAATTGATTGTGTTAAGTTAGATATACTGTACTATTTGGAATTTTACATTCTGTAAGTGCTACATAAATAAATAAATCTTTTTGGATCCCTTAAAGAAACGCTTGGAGGCCAGCGTTTCGACGACAACGAAGCGGTGGAAGCATTTGTGCTCCAATAGCTACAGGAACGTCCGAAGAGTTTCTATAATGCTAGAATAAAAAAGCTACCAATCCGATGGGAAAAATGTATTTCTAAGGGGGGGGGGGAGAAATGTATGTAGAAAAATAATGTATATTTAAAAACTTATTTAAATAAAGCTAAAAAATTTACATAAGATCTCCCATTTATATTTTATACCTTGATTTGTAAACCTGGCATGCAATAACTTAATACCAGATTCATGTAAAAAGCAGACAAATGTTTTATTGACTGTTTAATATTATTTATAGCCGTAGAAAAAGTATAGTGTTTAACTCACAAGGAATGCTCAATTGCTTGCTCGTTAAACACTATACTATTTTATACTTGAATTTGTTTTTGAAAAAACTTGATTTTAAACTAGTTTGATTTTTCACATGCAGTGACGATTGTGCATGGTAAGTTCTTTAAAAATATAATGTTTAAATGTTGCTTTTCAGTTACTGATTCTATCTATATACAGGTCGTTTGTGTGCATATATACCTAATACTTTTTATGCCACATTTTAAAATCAATTAATTTCACATGTTGCTGTCGTATTTCTCAACTCTAAAAAAAAGCTGAGCGGTGTCTGCAATTTAATAATATGTGTACGTCCTACCCGTGAATTTTTTTTGCGATTCAAACTAAGCGATACGCCTTCTGGAGGATGTTGGCATCAGTAGTGGAATTCCGCTACCTCTGCGGATTTTTACACCTTTTAGTAGGCGCGCGAAATTTAATTTGAATCGAGAATTCATAGCTTTTAATCTTATTCGTTCCTGAGATATAGGGTGTTTTTATAAGTTTCCATCAAAATTATAATTGGCCATTTTTTTGCCGCAGATTTTTCGATACAATTTTGTAGAATAGTTATACTCTCCTAGGTTGATCAATGCCAGTTCATTAATATTTTATAAAAAGCTAGACAGGGTGATACGGTAGCCAAGAAAAGCATTATAAAAAAAGGGAGTCTGGTCCTGAAGTTTTTCAAAATACAAATATGGCTTTTACTAACCTAAGAGTGTGTAACTTTTCTACAAAAGTTTATCGAAAACTCTAATCGTTCAACAAAATAGCCGACTGTAATTTGGGTGGATCATAAAACTTGGCTAAGTGTTCTCTACCTCCCATTAAAAAATGTCCGTTAAATCTAGGATACCCTGTTTATACGGTACAATCACACGAAACAGTAGTCAAACAAATTACCTGTATATGGATTGAAAAAAAGGGTACTGCTTTATACGTATGCTATTAAAAGTCGTTGTTAAATATTAGTATTACATTAAACAAATTAAAAATCTACCGGGTGTATATGCAAAAACTTCGGATGGTTTTGTTATTTCCGGAAAAAATTTGGTTGGAATCTTGAATTTTTGGGGTGCATAATGTGGCGTATTTCCACATACTTTTTATTCATTGGTACAGCTTAATTTTTTGTAATAAATAAAATATTCTTTTAAAATTTTAAATCGTTCAAAAAAGTAACAAGTGTATCTTGTAACGTTTTTTATTATGATTGTACTTAAAATAAGTGTCCCCTTTCATAGTCCTTCGTAATAGATAAAGGTACTCATTGAAAATTTTGACGTAAGGTCAACCTGGGGCGAAATGGGAAGGGGTATTTGAATGAAAAGATTTAGAATAGACTTTTCTCATTATTGATCTTCATTACCCATGCACAAATCCTACTTACTCTATAAATCATCAAAATTTGTTATATTTCATGCCTTGAGTTCCAATTACACGTCTTCAAATGTCATTTTGTTTTTGCATTTGATGGTATTGGTAGATAAATAGATATTTATTTAAATAGGAAACCCTAATATACAAATATTAATTTAAAAAAAGTAATAAGTAATAAAATTTACAATAGAAAGTAATAAAAACAATTACCTTTAACATTACAACATTACCAATTTTGTTGAAAAAAATAATTTGTTAAGTGATATGCAATTCGGATTTAGAGAACAAAAATCAACAAATGATGCCATTGCTTGTGTTACTAAAAAAATTTCCGAAAGCCTAGGTGAGAGTAAGAAGTGTGCATGTATATTTATCGACTTGGCAAAAGCATTCGATACTATAAGCCATCAAAGGCCTTTGTCAAGGCTTTATAATATTGGAATCCGAGGGAATGCACATACGCTATTAAAAAGCTATCTTACTAATAGGACGCAATTGGTAGAGGTAAATGGTCAACGGAGTACAACCAAAGAAATCACATATGGTGTCCCGCAGGGAACAGTACTAGGACCTATCTTATTCATCTTATATTTAAATGAATTACTCTCCTTAAAAACAAAAGGCACAGTGATCTCTTTTGCTGATGACACTGTACTGATTGTTGAAGGTAGCACGTGGGCGGAAGTCGAAATTAGGTTGAAAACTGACTTAAAAAAAGTAATACATTGGTTTGATGAAAATCTGTTAACTATCAACTTAGAAAAAACCATTTATCTACCATTTTCAAACTTTAAGAATGATCTTAGTAGCTTAAACCCTATAGTAATTGACTTACCCTTCCGAAATACATCGTGGTCTTTAACAAAGTCATCTAGTGCCAAATATTTAGGAATAACAATCGACGGCTGCTTGAAGTGGAATTTTCAAATCAACAACATGGTTAAAAAACTTAGATCATTATTATATATATTCAAAACGATATCGAAGATAATGCGCGAATCCGAACTCATTTCAACCTATTATGCTTTAGTGCAATCTGTATTAACTTATGGTATTATAGGTTGGGGAGGAGCTTATGCAACAACCTTGAGACCATTAGAAATAATTCAGAAAAGAATATTAAAATTAATCTTTAAATTAGATTTTCGATACCCCACTGAGAATCTTTTTCAACATTGTAACATTTTGTCTATCAGAAACTTATTTTATAAACAATCATTGCTACACGTAATCAAAACAAGAGAAATAAACCTAGGAACTCGTCAGTATAACACAAGATTTCGTATAAATCACAATATGACACTACCCAAATGTAGAATCACTCTAGTTCAACGAAACTATACTTATATTGGACTAAAAGTCTACAATGCATTGTCTCTTGACCTGAAACAAAAAATATATTATTGTAATTTCAAAAAAATCGCAACAAAATGGCTTTTGACAACAAAATTATGTATTTAATTTCCTGTTATACTCTATAGCTGTAAAAGAAGGATATAACATTAAAGTAACATTATTTGTGAGAGGTGAAGATCACACTTACCTAACACTCCGTGGCAAAGGCTGTCAAGATTTTTCTTAGTCTACTGTCCACATCGTGTCCATGTCTTGTCCTGTCATTGATATGTTTTTCTTTTTAATTTGTATCTACTTTTGTATCTACTTTGTAACTACTTCCTCAAAACATAACAAACTCTTCAAATCTATTGACTTTCAAAAAAATTAATTACATATGTACTTCAACTAGGCAGAATGTTTATTGCAAACTTCATTGAAATTTAGGGATTTTATTTTATTTTATAATTATATTTTATTGTGTTCCAATTTAAATATTTTCTACTGTCTAGTCTTTCTGTATCTAATAAATTAATGTTTCACTGTAAAGAGACATTGTTTTATATTATTATTATTACATAGTTTTTATTATATTTTTTACCTGCAACAAGTTGCGACTTTGCAGGATTTTGTAGTTTATTGATCAGCTTCCATTTTTATTTTGTTGTATAATTTTTTATATGTATGAATAAACTCTATTATTATTATTATTATTATTATTATTATTATTATTATTATTATTATTATTATTATTATTATTATTATTATTATTATTATTATTATTATTATTATTATTATTATTATTATTATTATTATTATTATTATTATTATTATTATTATTATTATTATTATTATTATTATTATTATTATTATTATTATTATTATTATTATTATTATTATTATTATTATTATTATTATTATTATTATTATTATTATTATTATTATTATTATTATTATTATTATCATTATTATTATTATTATTATTATTATTATTATTATTATTATTATTATTATTATTATTATTATTATTATTATTATTATTATTATTATTATTATTATTATTATTATTATTATTATTATTATTATTATTATTATTATTATTATTATTATTATTATTATTATTATTATTATTATTATTATTATTATTATTATTATTATTATTATTATTATTATTATTATTATTATTATTATTATTATTATTATTATTATTATTATTATTATTATTATTATTATTATTATTATTATTATTATTATTATTATTATTATTATTATTATTATTATTATTATTATTATTATTATTATTATTATTATTATTATTATTATTATTATTATTATTATTATTATTATTATTATTATTATTATTATTATTATTATTATTATTATTATTATTATTATTATTATTATTATTATTATTATTATTATTATTATTATTATTATTATTATTATTATTATTATTATTATTATTATTATTATTATTATTATTATTATTATTATTATTATTATTATTATTATTATTATTATTATTATTATTATTATTATTATTATTATTATTATTATTATTATTATTATTATTATTATTATTATTATTATTATTATTATTATTATTATTATTATTATTATTATTATTATTATTATTATTATTATTATTATTATTATTATTATTATTATTATTATTATTATTATTATTATTATTATTATTATTATTATTATTATTATTATTATTATTATTATTATTATTATTATTATTATTATTATTATTATTATTATTATTATTATTATTATTATTATTATTATTATTATTATTATTATTATTATTATTATTATTATTATTATTATTATTATTATTATTATTATTATTATTATTATTATTATTATTATTATTATTATTATTATTATTATTATTATTATTATTATTATTATTATTATTATTATTATTATTATTATTATTATTATTATTATTATTATTATTATTATTATTATTATTATTATTATTATTATTATTATTATTATTATTATTATTATTATTATTATTATTATTATTATTATTATTATTATTATTATTATTATTATTATTATTATTATTATTATTATTATTATTATTATTATTATTATTATTATTATTATTATTATTATTATTATTATTATTATTATTATTATTATTATTATTATTATTATTATTATTATTATTATTATTATTATTATTATTATTATTATTATTATTATTATTATTATTATTATTATTATTATTATTATTATTATTATTATTATTATTATTATTATTATTATTATTATTATTATTATTATTATTATTATTATTATTATTATTATTATTATTATTATTATTATTATTATTATTATTATTATTATTATTATTATTATTATTATTATTATTATTATTATTATTATTATTATTATTATTATTATTATTATTATTATTATTATTATTATTATTATTATTATTATTATTATTATTATTATTATTATTATTATTATTATTATTATTATTATTATTATTATTATTATTATTATTATTATTATTATTATTATTATTATTATTATTATTATTATTATTATTATTATTATTATTATTATTATTATTATTATTATTATTATTATTATTATTATTATTATTATTATTATTATTATTATTATTATTATTATTATTATTATTATTATTATTATTATTATTATTATTATTATTATTATTATTATTATTATTATTATTATTATTATTATTATTATTATTATTATTATTATTATTATTATTATTATTATTATTATTATTATTATTATTATTATTATTATTATTATTATTATTATTATTATTATTATTATTATTATTATTATTATTATTATTATTATTATTATTATTATTATTATTATTATTATTATTATTAATATTATTATTATTATTAATTATTAATTATTATTATATACCGGGTGTTCATTTTAAAGTGTTACAGTCAAATACCGCCGAAAATATGCATTTTAGAAAAAAAGTTTCAGACAAAAGTTTTATAGTTTTTTGGGGGAAATATTTTGGCTAAATTCATTTTTTGTAGTTGGCCATAATATGGCCATATCGAGGTGGACTTTGTTTTTTAAATGGGAATCCCATTTTTTTCTTACATATTCTTAAAGTACATAAAAAAATAAGAAACTTTTGAGGGAAATATTTTTTTTATTGGACTTTTACTTTTTGAGTAACAGCTACTTGAAAATGTTGCTGCGCGAAAAAAAAGTTGGCCATATTATGGTTAGCTATAAAAAACGATTTTAGCCAAAAGTTTTTCCCCACAAAACTATAAAACTTTCGTGTATAATGGACCATACTACACTCGAATATTTACAACACTCGCTCACTCGTGTTCTAAACAATTCTCGTGTAACATTATACACTTATTGAATAATATACTATTTTTTTTTAATTTATTATAATATTAGTTTTAATGTCGAGAAAAGACATTTATTAATTAAAAAAAAAAAATTTTCCTCCATTTGTTTAAAAAATTTTTATAAACAAATGGAGTATTTCAATTTTTTTCAAATTTTTTTTTTACAACTTTCTAGCTAATTGCCAATTATGATTTTTAAAAAACAATTTTTTTCTTAATAATAACTTTTAATTGTTTATAATCGTTTTTTAATATATCTATTGTTTAAATTATTAGTTAATAAATGTGTTTTTTTTAATCATAATTGACAGTTCTCTACAAAGTGACAGCAAAAATTTTTTTTTTATTAATAATTCCATTGTTTATTAAGTTAACAATTTGTTATAAACAAATTCCCAACTTTGGTTTATTTTTTTCCTGAAAGAAATAAAAATTCCAAAAACGACTTAGTGCATTAAAATTACGGAAAAAATTTTGTTCCATTTTTTTTTTTAATTAATAATTGTCTTTTCTCGACATTAAAACGGTAATATTATAATAAATTAAAAAAAAAATTTTTTATAGCTCCACTGACTTTTCTGTTTTTGTAAACCACTTAGTATTTAATTTAATATTAGTAATTGTCCAGAAAGTTGTAAAAAAAAAGTTGAAAAAATTGAAATACTCCATTTGTTTATAAAAAATGTATAAACTAATGGAGGAAAAAATTTTTTTTTAATTAATGTCTTTTCTCGACAATAAAACAGTAATATTATAATAAATTGAAAAAAAAAATTTTTATAGCACCACTGTGACTTTTCTGTTTTTGTAAACTTTAAAAAATTATTATAAACAAAGTATTAACATTTTTTAAACTTTTATGAAGCTATTTTGTTTTATATGTATATAAAAAGAGCTCCACGAAGCAAAAAAAATTTACCGTAATTATTTAATATTTTTATCAATTAGTAATGATGAGAGAAATTCTAAAAATTTTGTTAATTAACAATAACCTACTTTGTCGGAAAATTAATTTTTATGAAAAATTCCAACGGGAATGAATTCTTCTAAGTGTTTAGAATACATCGTAATTTTTTTAAATTTTTGAATTTAATTTTATTAACTTAAAAAAATTATTTTATGTAACGTACTCGGTTTCGACGCCGCCGTGCGCGCAACCTAAAAAAGGCGCGCGGAAGGCTACTTTGAGCGTTAAATTAAAATTATAAATAATGGAGGTACAGTTCCGGGAGTCGAAACTTATTTATAGCAAATTTCCTCCTCTTTAAGGATCTTTTTTGAAAAATCCAAAAATATTTATAGTTTACAAACTATAGGCGAAAAACCAAACACCGTATTTTTGAGGTGTTTAATTGTTCATAACTTTTGTAATTTTTTATCCACTGCAAAATTTTTGTTCACACATTGATCTAGACATTATTCCGAATCGAATGAGCTATTGAACATAATTTTCGTAATAGTATGTCCCAAAAACACGCTTTTGAACTTGTTGATTAGACTATTATACCTCTAAAATTAGTGATTCAAACTTAAATTTTACCAGAAATAAAACAATTCGAAGTTTTTGCAGACAGCCAGTATAATGCTTCTCGTCTGATATTGCACAAAAATATTACTACTACGATTATTTTCAGCTTTTTGTAAACCGGGTGCAACTTAAGTAAATTTTGAATTCTTTATATTGTCCCAACCAAAAAGGAATTCTCATATGAAAAGAAAATTTATTGATAATGAAAAATATCGAAAATATAAAACAAAAGAAACATCTTAGTCAATTTTTGTCTTTTGTATTTAAAATTGAGTCAAGTATTTAAATTTTTTTTTCCTATTTTGATATGTTGCAACGGTGTAAGATTTTTTCTTAATTTAATCCGTTTCTTTCAGTTATTGCACTCGGAAAATCGCTTCCATCCTTTTCTCTCAGTTAAGAGAGGGATTTCAGACTAGTTCAGACCACTCTCGTAAATGTTGTGCTTGCATCAGTTACCAGTTATGAGTATTCTGTTGTTATGATCAGCACGACAGTATTTTTTAATGTTTTTACAATACCCTACTGTCTTAAATAATAATATTTCTACATTCAAGTCTTTGGGAACAAATATAAATATTTAAATATTTTTGATATATTCATTGAATTCAAACACTTGTGCAATGCTCTTTTTCGTCATATTTCGTCTCACATGGCAAATTAAATATACTGACAGCATATATTGTAAAAAAATCATTTAACTATATTCTTGTACAGCCCATAATTAGATTAGATTCTAAATATATTTTTTAGAAACAGCATAATTAACATAAAATCAAAACAAGTACCTAACCTAAAAAAATGATGGTAACTCTAAACAATATCACCCAATTTTTACGAGTATAAAGAATTATTTGAGCACTGCAATATATAGCTTGTTATTATACACTATATAGGTACACCAGCTAGGAAGAAGTTGTGCAGATCTTGAAAATCGCTTTGCTCCGCCTATTGCATTTACCATATCGCCAACTTAGCCACTGACTTAAGAACATCAATTGGTGGGACCAATCAATCGCTTGACGGGGCTTACAATAGTATTGTATGATTCTAATTATTGTGATTTTTTTTTGAACGGTTGGCAATGGACCCATTTGTCATACTGACGACAATCTTCTGTTTTTTTGCAAACTATACACACGCGCTAGTAATATCAAATAAAAAAATATATTAAATGTATTGTACTTTTTTTGGGCGCCACTGAATAAGAATCGCCAATACCAAACTAATTTTGAAAGTCATAACATCCTATATAAAAAAATCACAATAATTTGCAGTAACCCGGTATAATATTTTGGTATAAATTTTGATCCTCATTTTTTTGTTTTAACATTTTTAGGCTATCATCTTTGAGGCCGATCCAACCTCGAATAGTGCCCATGGGACCAAACATATCGAATCTCAGTGATAATAAAAATATTGTCAGTAATTCTGCAAGAAGATTGGAGGTAGGTTCAGTATCTTTTTTTATTAAAGTTAGTAAAATAAATAGGAAATATATGTGAATTAGTGAGACCTCTATATATGATGTCTAAGTATTGCATTTGTATTGATTTTTTCTTTTGTTTTCACCAATTTTTAACACATTTCTCTATTTTTGTCCGAAAACAAAAAAAATTGCGCCGACCCCATATCTCGAACAAAAGCCCCGATCGACAATCGGTGTTCATTATGCTTGATCATTTCTTCCAACTTTATTTATAAAAAATATCTGTGTTTAAAATGCAATGCATTTCTTATGGCATAAAAGTCAATAAATATGGTTTTATGCATGTGTAATTATTTCACTTGCTAGCCATGACTGTCAATCAAACTAGATATTTGTTTCTATATTGCTGTTATTCTTAAACGTCCTGATGATGGCTTATAGAGACTGAAACTAGTAACGCTAACAATACAATTCTGTGGTAAATGATTTTGAGTTTTCTTTCCTTATGTCAAATAAATTATTTAGTTCAGTCTTTACGTCTTTCATTCAAAATCAAGTCGTTTTTCGTTTCTTTTTTGCTACATTGTATCACTACGAGTTTGCCTGTTAAGACTGATGCCCGATATGGCACGAACTACAAATTTAGCCTCATCATTTAGCCGACATCACTGCATTTTGTTTTTCTTAACTGCAAAGATTTAAAAAAAATTAAATGTTTAGAAACCCTATTCAATACTTCTGTAAAATCAAGCCTAGAATACTGTTCAATTGTCTGGTCACCTGGACACAATATTTACATTGACTATCTTAGTTGATACTTTTTTAAACTGTATAGAAGTCATTAAAATAAACATCTTTTTCAAATAACTTTAAAAACAAAACTCAAAAATAAGATACTTACATTAATTTATTCCAAAATTTATCCAGTTCGGTCCTGTTTAATTTAAATAATGTAATCAGTTGTCACCATTTACTGAAGTGTTGAAACACATGGTAAAGCGTTTATTGTACATTGTGTACAACACCGATGCAGCACTTTGAAGACATTTGCCATAAATAAGCAACATATTCACAAGTTCATTTTAAACAAATTTATTTAAACACTTAACTGATCACACACGAATGAATTACAATTACTGGTGAAGCGTGATTCATGATAAAAGCATAAAAAACGACAAAAGGGATAAAAACAATTAGATTAATTATTGATAAACAAGTCCGCACATGGATTTACATTTTTTAAATATGTATCTTTCTTATTCGAAAAAATCTGATTTGTCCAACACATGACTTTCCTATCTAGTTATTACAGGTTTTTTCCGGTTGTTTTGTACAACCTATTGTAGCACCTCTGTAAATGTTTAGAGGATAAACATTCTCCACGTACTTCTAAATCGAAACATTTTTTTTTATATATATTCATTGCTAACAAAAATACTAAAAAATTAAAATTTTACACTTTTCCTCCAATTTTTTAGTTTATCAATTTTCTTAAAAACCAGAATTTTGCACATTTTACCAAATTTCACGAATACGGATCATTTTAGGAATATTTTGTAAAAAGCAAAAATTATAGAAAATAATATTAGTAGTAACTTTTATTTAAAGAATTTTCTTCTCCAAACGTATATAACGGATATATGCCATAAAATATAAAAACGACCCCCTATAAAGTACCCCCCAGATCTTCTAACTCTGCCCAAAATCTAATAAGTTCAACTTAGACCGGAATAAAGCCTAAGTTAAAAAATTATTGTTTTTCTCTTTATCCGTTTTTTAGTTTTCTTCAAAATTCAAAATTTACACATTTTCTCAAATATCTCGAATACGGTCCATTTTAGAGAAATAATGTGTGAGTCAAGAGAATTGTATCACAAATAACTTTTATTTAAACAATTTTCCTAAAAATTTGAATTTTTACATTTTGTCAAATTTCTCGAATACGTACCATTTTAGGAAAATTTTGTATAGAACAAAAATTATAGAGAATAATATAAGAAGTAACTTTATTTGAAGATTTTTCTTCTCCAAACGTAAAACATATATTTTATAAAATATAAAAATGGTCCCCTATAAAGTACCCCCCCCCCAGATGTTCCGACTCTGTCCATAATCTAATCAGTTCACCATAGGCTGGAATAACACTTAAGTTTGAAATTTGGTGTTTTTCTTTGTATCCGTTCATGAGTTATCGTGGATACAGACACACACATAAACACACGACACACACACAGACATACACATACACACAGACATCATCGCGAAAATAGTCAAAACGGATTCAGGGGACCTCAAAACGTAAAAATCCCTCGAAAACTCGAGGTCGAAAAAAACCATGATTCCTATACTTTCCTTATCTGTATACAGATAGGAAAGTAATAAGTTATTTGAAAAATACGTTTATTTAAATGACTTTTATACACAGTTAAAAAGTATCCACTTAGAATTCACATATAAATTTGCTGTTTCTCTGTCTTTCTTTCATTATTTACCTATTTTTGTTAAATTTAGATCTACCTTAATCTTATATACCGGTTTAAGCCTTAATAATATTTAAGCTGCCCTGTAATTGGGTGTACTCATGTTTGGACAATATTTTTTTTAATATCAGTGTTTACTAATTTCACGCATTTTACGAATTCTTAAAATAAATACAAAAACATTAAGGGCTGATTCCACCGTTGTGTTAAACGAAGTTTAAATTACTAAATGAAGATTAAAATGACATTGTTAATGTAAAAATATCGTTTTAATCGTTGTTTAGTAATTTAAACTTCGTTTAACACAGTGGTGGAAACGGCCCTAAAAAAACTATAGAATCATTGTAAATATTTTCCATATACCACAATTCAATATATTCACTTTTAAATCTTCAACAGGTATTAAGAAATTGCATCAACTGTATCTTCGAGAACAAAATATCAGACGCCAGAAAAACTTTTCCTGCAGTATTAAGGGCACTACAGTCCAAACAAGCTAGACTTGCACTTTGCGACGAGCTATCCCATCATGTGAGTGGTACCAAAGCGATGTTGGAACACCAACAATTTGATTTAGTAGTTCGGCTCATGAACTGCGCTCTACAAGACGATTCCTCCATGGATGAACATGGTGTCGCTGCAGCTCTTCTACCTCTTGCGACGATTTTCTGTCGAAAATTGTGTACGGGGATTATACAGTTTGCTTATACATGCATTCAAGAACATAGCGTGTGGAATAATCAACAAGTAAGTTTGTTAAATTCTAAAAAATTCTTTAATATAATAGCACATATGTATTTTGATATAATGTATTTATAGGGTGTCTCTAAAAGGACTGTACAACATCCTACATGTTCTTTAAATCAAAATAAACCGATTTAACTAAAGGTTAGTTAACCTTTAAGCATTGTACGAACCTGATGTTTTAATTTAAAAATCGTGTTTAGTTATTCGTATTTAAATGGCTTGTGCGATTGCTAAAATTTGGTACTTTGGCATATCTCTAGAAGACTTAAAAATCCATGTCAAAAATTAATAAAGGCTAGAACCAGAGTTTTTTAAAGTAACTGGATACTTCAAATTTCTGAACAACGGGAAGAAAGGGTTGTAAGTATACATTGACTACAAAAGATAACTTTCCAGTTATCAAAATATTTTAATTTTAATAATCAGTAACATTTTTACAAAAAATGTTATTTAAATATCGTTTAAAATTAAAACATCAAAATAATATTTTTTCTATAAATGTCATTAAAAGTTACACTTTTAACTACTTTTTTTATATGTTTTTGCTGCAGCTGGGTAACTCCTGATACATTTTTAAAGTAAATTATTAGTCCATTTAAAATAACGGTAAAAGGTCGAGAAACGCCGCACTTGACGAGACCACTTGTCCCCTACGTATTTTGGGGCGCTGATTACGAAAATGAGGGTTAAAACTGGCAGCAATGGTTGGAACACCCCTAAAATTGCAAAAAAACACTCCTATATAGGAGTGTTTTTCGACTGTACTTGTTGTTTTGCAAACTAACTCATCTCATATGTTTTTCGGGGCGCTTATTACGAAATTCGGGGTTAAAACTTGCAGCAATTCACCCCTTGGGAGGGGTGTTTCTGGCGGAGGTCTTACACAAATTTTCCAGTCTCGACACCCCCATTTTCTAAATCAGCGCCCCAAAAAACATATGTACATAAGTAAAGTCGAAAAACACCCCTATATAGGGGTGTTTTTTGCAATTTTAAAGATGGTTCAACCATTGCTGCAAATTTTAACCCCGATTTTCGTAATCAGCGCCCCAAAAAACATATAAGATGGCTTAGTTTGCAAAACAAGTACAGTCGAAAAACACCCCAATTTAGGGGTGTTTTTTTGCAATTTTAGGGGTGTTCCAACCATTGCTGCCAGTTTTAATTCTCATTTTCGTAATCAGCGCCCCAAAATACGTAGGGGACAAGTGGTCTTGTCAAGTGCGGCGTTTCTCGACCTTTTACCGTTATTTTAAATGGACTATATCGAGAATTACCTTTATCCATTTCCAGCCGACGCTCCTAAACAAACAACTAACGAACTAACCCACAGACGCTCCAAATTTTAAAATATTTCTAGTTTCAATTTTATTTCAGATTAAATCTTAAATATTAGTATTCTTATTTGTACTTTTCTCATCCTATAAATTATCACTATTTTTCTTTCAAAATTTCTACCACAGGGCACTTATTTTCAAACTGAAAGAGAACTTATTTCTCTCAAGATTTCATGAGAAATGTCGCACATCAATGTGGGAATAGTTTTTTGAAATCCAGCGAATAGTCACTGACCTATTTCGCTCCTTTAATTTCGAGATAATTAAAATTCTTAGAAAATACGAATTAAGGAGAATACATAATATGGATTTGGACACTCCTTTCTCTTGATAGAGCACTCCTTTCTCTCGATATATCTCTCCTTTCTCTCGATAGGGCATTTATTTCTCTCGAGTTTGAAAATAACCCCCGGTCCGATCGCTGTTTTATATATTCGGTATATATTTCGCAGTATATTTTCTCGATAAACATTCCGAAAAGCAAAATCATTCTGTTTACAGATATCACACGTTAATACTTAATCATGTTTAACAGTTTTGGGAAGCAGCTTTCTATCAAGACGTCCAGAAGGACATCAAAGCCCTTTATGTCTCCAGAACAGATAATCTAGCAACAAGACTAAATAGCGAACTCCATAGCCCCACGTCACCACGCGATTCCAAAGATTATACATGGCATCGACGTTCTGTTCTAAGCAGAGCTCAAGAAGCCACTGCTTTAGAAATAGCTGCTGAACAGATGCGAATATGGAACACCATAGACGTCGAAAAACAGAAGGAATTGATAACATGCGAAGAAAATACCATGTATAGCCAAGCCATACATTATGCTAACAGGATGGTTTACCTCCTCATTCCTTTGGATATGGGACACAAAATGAGCAAACAAGATTTATATGACGAAGACAGAATAAGCAACAGCATCGCAAATAGGTAGGAGAGTTCTAAAAGCTTCTTTTTCGTCTTTCACTTACATAAAAAAACATTTTTAGTGTTGCTGAAAGTGACAGCGCAGATGCAGAGTCCGGTTTTGAAGATCAAGATCCCGGAGAAACGGGCAACACGGTCATCAGAATGGTTTCTCGTTTTATTGATAAAGTTTGCAATGAAGGAAGTGTTACACGTGATCATATCCGAAATTTACATCAAATGATACCGGGAGTGGTTCATATGCATATCGAAACTTTAGAGGCTGTTTATAGAGAGTCCAAGAGGCTTCCTCCTATCCAAAAACCTAAGATACTGACCCCCAATATGCTGCCCGGTGAGGAAATTATCATGGAAGGTGAGTTTGATGTTCCAAAATTTTAGTTGTCATTATCCAAATCTAAATAGTCATTATTGTTTTTATAATAAAATTATACAAATTAAATTTATATATAACTGATAACTAGATTAAAAAGCTTTAAGTATTTTAGATATTAGACAGCTATTTTCTCAAATTTGTTTGAAGTGGAGGAGACCTGAAAGCTCTCACTCATTTCTATTTTTCGAGGGAAAAAGAGAAATATATCTTACTGATTCACAAATCTAGAGTCCAAAAAAATGTGTTTTTATCTGGCAAAATTTAAAAAATTCTTTAAGCAAACGAATAGACATAAAATTAGGGAAATTATTGAGATGTAAAAAAAAAACAAATAAAATTGAAAAAATATACCTTACTTTTTAATTTTTAATCTGTAATTTTTAATAACTTATTTTTTAAATCACTTATGTAAATTTTTTATCTTTTAAATTTATTTTTACCATTCAACTTATTACTTAAATATAAATATAAAAAATTGTAGTTCGAAATTCTAGTTTTGTAAAAAAATCTTCAATGGTGACTATTGTTTATTCGACCATTCTGTCTCATTCATCTATGTACCTATTTTATGTTGAATAAATTATTATTATTAAAGCAATGCAACTTAGTTGTTAATCGCCAGGGTCATATTCCAGACCTTATTTTCACCAGTTTAAAATAGAAGGAAAACAAGAATCATCTTATTCTAAATATATCACTATTTATTGACAACTACAGATCTAATCTTAATTATTATGCTGACGTTTACAATTGTATAACATCTCACAAGCTCTAAAATGTATGAAAGAAAGATAAGTATATGATAGTATCCCTCTTTGGTGAAGGAGTGTGCTTATATTCTAGCAGAAGCGCTTCAAAAAATGTTTAATACCAATAATTTGATTTTATTAGGACGTATCCCATATTTTTCAGAAACTGCATTTTTGATATTATTGGATTAATGATAATTGTTTCCATAATATTCTAACACATCGTATCATACTTTACCATGAAATGATTTTTGACCATATATAATATGTCGTATCTTCTATTTAGTATTGCTAATAAAATAAACATTTTTTTATCGGCTGTAAAATTTTAGTTAGATACTGTGGCTAGAAAATTATAAATGCAAATTTTTCGAAATGGATTGAAATTATGCCATTAAAACAAGTATACATTTTACGTTAAAATTTGCCATAAAAAAATTGAAAAAAAAATTGAAATGCCAAAAATAAAAAAAAAATAAGTTTTCTTCATCCAGTAGAGTGTAGGTCTCTTTTTGTCCCAATCTCAAAATTTTAAATATACGTTAACGAAAATATTGCAAAAAATGAAAAATAAATTTTAACTTTAACTCAGCAGTAGATAAAATTTGACCTAGTGAGATTTAGCAAAATATTAATATTTCTATCTTGAACCTATGGTAAAAATATTTACCATTCCTGCATATAGGGGAAACCATAAATAGGTATTATTGTTCACTGATGTTTTACAAAATGATTTAATCGAATTAGAATCTTCGAAAAATTAATTGGTTTCTATTTCACCTTGTCTCTTGCAGTTTTCTCTATTTGTTTTTCTAAATACATGAATATATTAAAATCTAAATTATTGTTATAGTGCGTCATCATGTTTTTCCTTTTTTGTACAGCTTGATTTTCCATTCCATTTCTTTGGGTCATTATTCTTTATATTAATTTTCCCTGAAAGTGTACTTTTTGCTGGCATTATGGAGGAAATTTTGCTCCATCATTGTGGAGTAAAGTTCAAGAGCATGTCGACCACTCATTAGTTTTGGTTACTGACTAAAAAGTTTGATGGAGACCCAGAAGGTTTAGTTTTCAAACCTAATGATGCGCTGCTTTTATATTTTGAAAACTACTATTTATTGTTATTTTTTACAGGTTTGAGAGTATATCTTCTTCCTGATGGTAGAGAAGAAAGTAGTACAGGTTTATTGGGAGGCCCACCTTTACTTCCTGCAGAAGGCGCAATATTTCTTACTAACTATCGAATTATATTTAAGGGAATACCATGTGACTCATTCGGTAAGTTTCTGTTATATCTAATATATGGGCCCTGCCTCAGTGAAGTTGGCTCAATCACTCAAAATAATTGGACCAACTTCACTAAGACATGGCTTGCATTTTATATGGACAGTTATTGTATTTGACACAACTTTTAAGAATTAATTCTTCACATTTACATTGTTTCTTTCGTTATTTGTTTAGCCTGTGAGCAAATAGTAGTTCGCTCGTTTCCGGTAGCTTCTTTAACGAAAGAGAAAAAAGTGGCAGTTCAATATCTTGCACATCTCGACCAATGGCTCCAAGAAGGTTTGCAATTGCGATCCTGTAGTTTTCAATTAATGAAGTTCGCTTTCGACGAAGAAGTTACAGCTGAAAACGTCGATACTTTGCGAAAATTGTTACATAAAGTCAGACATCCTCCGGACGTTTTCCACCATTTCGCTTTTACCGGACAGGTGGTAGTCAGTCAGACGCCGTTGCATAAAAATAAGGTAAGTAACTATAAAACGATATAGATTTCTATTATTTTCCATTTTGCAGTAAGGAAAGAAAGAACCTCTGGATACCTAAGAGTAATGTAGAGTTTTCCTAAACAACCTGTTCAGTTTAATAGTAGCATCTTTTTCTATGTACCTCTCTCGAATTTAAGAATAATAACCTTACATGACAATGGCATATGAAATGCCTTTTATCAAACCTGACAAAAAGGATACAAGTTAAAACAAATAACTCATATAATATTAATACATTTTAATATACTAAAGGATGACAAAACTTCTTTGGCTAATACCATAACAGGCATTGGATTATATCAAAAGAAAAACCAGAGATAAAACATTTTATCAACACTATAGCTTAGATTTTGCTTATTGAGGAGAACGTCTATTTTGGAGCAAGAAATATTTTGTGACATTGTTTGAGATTTTATTGTTTTTCTTCTTTATTTTATATTTTGGCCACAATTGAATTTGGAATTATTTTTTATCTAAAAACGATCAGAGAACTTTGAAAGAGAGAAACAACAAACCCAAGTAAAATGAAGAGTGATAAATAACTTGAAAAGCGAGTTTCCGTTAATAAAGCGACGGCATCGTACAAAAATAAGTAGAATCACTCAGGCAGAAGCCGACACCTTTTAAAAACCAGCATGTTTTTCGAGCAGGCGATGTTGGCTATGGCACTGTTCATACAGTTCATAAGAGAGACGGTCAGCGCTTATTTCCCGGGAGTTCGTCTGCAAAATAATGTGCAAAGCAGTTCAAATGCCCCAGTTAGACTGACCTAACTACTTATTTTATGAAAGATGGAGACGGGAAGTAAATTAATTAAATTATTTGAGGATAGTATTGTACTACTAATAGATAATCCTGTATTGAGAACAGGCAGTCAATGTTTTTTAAAATAAACAACAATATGGTAACAATGATGAATGGAAGATCTCATTTTAGTTGAGCAAATCAGGCTAAAAGGCTCACGGAACATTATCTGCAGACGACATAAATTACGACCTCTTAGTTAATTATAAGAAAAGACAAAGATATATAGAGAGATGATCCTTCATTGCATATTAATTTTTTTCTAAAATGACAACTAGTTGGTTTCAGCAAGGATAACATAATAGTAACTCGCTTTCTTTCTCTACTTGTCATTGCAATAATTACAATTTTTTTTTTGTTAAAATTTAATCAATTAACGATATTTAATGTAGAATAGGTTATTAACACTATCATTAAAGCAATACTATCTCTGCACTTCTAGCTAAGAAGTTCCCAATGTGAACCATTTTATATATAATCAAACACGTCCGTTACCTAACACAAAGGTCATTTCTCATCAGTTATATCTCAGATATTATTAGCTCTTATTCCGTTTGCTCTATTATTTCGTCTAGCAAAAAAGCCAATAAGCAATCATCACTTTTCAGCCAAAGACTAAAAATATTTTTGTTTTTGTCTCAAAACTTAATGTGGCGCCCAATTTCGATTTGAAAAATGTGAATTATACAGGGTGTTTCTAAATTCATGCGACAAAATTCAGAAGGTGATTGCTCGTACGAAATTAATATGGGTCTTTCTTATAACAAAATTTCCTCAGCCCACCCCTTTCCAAGATATCACCCTTAAAAGGTGGTAACTCAATTTTAATTTCAGTAAAGCTAGAAACTTGAAATTTTGTAATTTTCGTGCACTCGCAAAGGACTAACCACGGGTATTTTTTCAATATTCCTGTTACATTATAGGTGGGTGAAATTAGCAAACCTTACTTTATTTCATCTCGAAAAAAAGTTTTGATATGAAATAAAATAAGGGTTGCTAATTTCACCCATCTATATAATGTAACAGGAATATTGAAAAAATACCCGTGGTTAGTCCTTTGCGAGTGCACGAAAATTACAGAATTTCAAGTTTCTAGCTTTATTGAAATTTTAGAAAAAAAATAAAAGCTCTATTTTAGTTACCACCTTTTAAGGGTGATATCTGTGAAAGGGGTGGGCTGAGGAAATTTTGTTATAGGAAAGACCCCATCTTAATTTCATACGAGCAATCACCTCCTGAATTTTGTCGCATTAATTTAGAAAAACCCTGTATGTTGATTGATTTCTTGTAGAAACTAATTAAATAATATTAGACCATCCATAGAGCAATAAACCATACATTAGGGTGGCGCAAAAAACCTACTATTTTTTTTTGTCTCCTAGGAATATATGTTAATTTATCGTTTTTTAAGACTCCCCTCCAAAGGGCAGCTCAAAAAAATTTTTTTTAGGGGTCGCTCAAGATTTTTCAAAATTAGTCAAAATTCGATTTTTTTTTTTATTTTTTGCTCGTGACGGTAGAATTTTGTACCCCAAAAAAGAAAAAAATGTCTTAAATTTTTAGCTCAAAATATGAATTTTTTTAACGGTCCCTTATATACAACATTATTATATACAACATTATTGCTTTTGATTTTTTCGAGCGACCTTTAAATCTTAATATTAGGAATTAATTTCATTTTTTGCTTTTAAGTAGCAAGGTCAGAATTCATCACGAGACAGAAAAAAAAATCCAATACAACAATGAAAGCATAATTTAATAAGTCGAATTTTGACTAATTTTGAAATTCTTAAAAATCTTGAGCGACTCTTAATTTTTTTTTTTGGCTGCCCTTTTAGAGGGGGTTTTAAAATATGATAAACTTTAGTTTTATTTTTTTTATTTTTAAAACTTTTATTGACATATTAACAATGTCATTGGAAATATCTAAAAAATTCACTGTTGCCAGATAATTTGAAACATGTCAATGGTCATTTGTACAAAACGACATGCAGTATCAAAAAATTGTAAAACTAACCATTTAAAGAAATATCAATACCTTCTTCTTTGTCCTCATCAGGAGAATACTATTCGACTTTGATATTGATATTTTTTAAATTGCAAGGATTATATTATTTTCCCACCAGTTTTAAAAATTCTTCAACTCGAGTTGACAGCATTTGTAAAACATGTATATGAAGACTATTCTTTAAAAAATCACTTCATTTTACATTGACTTACATAGAAAATTGACACCGCTGTTATTCGACATGTCAACTACAGTCAATGTCGCGAACTTTATAAAAAGAAGGACGGAAATTTGACCATTGCCGATTCACCTCGTTCTCTCTAGTCTTCATAAACATGTACCTAGTCAAATTATCCGGTACGTGGGCTTTTTTCTGTCATTCAACAATGTAACAACGTCTTAATGAAGACTCAATAGCATTGATATCACAGCTCATATTGGGATCTTTAAACGTGATTGAATGATTCACATTGAGGTGATGATATCCATGAGCACCAAGACAACTGCTTTCCAGCAATGATATTAGATAGTGGTAACTTAATCTGTACCTCTGTAGCCATGGCAAAGTGCTTCACAACTCATGAAGTTTTTTCTAACATTGTTCTGCCAACTTTGATTAACTCAAGTTAAGTCAAATCAATTTTTTTTTATTTTTGTAGAATTAATTACATTCTTATTAACAAAGATAGGGTAACAATATAAGATAAATAAAAAAAAATTAAAAAAGTTAAAAAATAAAAATAAATGAATTTTTTTATTTGTTTTAAAATTTCTAAAATTTCTAATGTCGAGAATCGTAGCAAGCGTTGACGTTTGCTTATTGAAAGAAACTATTTGTACTCTACACCTTTTCTAATTGTAGTTCAAAATGTGACTTCCAAATAGTCATTTGAATATCAAAAAATATCATTTGAATTTCCAAATTACTACTTGAATTTCATAGTGTATAATTTGTATTTCAAAAAGCGTAATAGTAGTTTACCTAACAAGTGCGGAAAGTGATACTTTTCCGCACGTGTTAGGTACACTATTTTTTTTACTAGCGTGCGGAAGAAACCCAAAAGTTAACATAAAGAAACATTTATTATTAAATACATATCAACAAATTAATTATTCTTAATATTAATATTGAACGTGCAATTTGTAGCATTCTGCAAATTAATTGCAGAGGCTAAAATGTTTTAAATATTCAAATGTCAGTATACTCTCCAAAAATTTTAACAAATGAGTGCAGAAAAATGGACTTTTCCGCACGCTAGTAGAAAAAGTTAATTTCAGAAGTTTTGAATTGTATTTCAAATTTGTAATTTTAATTTTCAAAAGTTGGATATAAATGAACTTGTGGACTGTAATCTTGATTTTTACATTAAATGAAATACTTGATACGTTTGTGAAACAATATTTTTTAGTCCTTCTTTCGCAGCGTGTAGCTACCGAATATCGAATGTTGTAAGAAACAAAACAACTTTTGTTATCTTGTTATCTAGAAGTTGGCGATGTTACCAAACTCTACATAATATCTAGTTTTACACTAAAAAATACATTTTATATAGAAAAAGGTAGCTATAAACCTAACCAAAAGTATCAAATATATTTTGAATTTCAATTTTCAAAATAGTAATTTGTATTTCAAAATATATCAAATGTATTTCATAAGGCTTCATTTGAATTTTCAAAAAATTACACATAAAGGTGTTTTTAGTATTCATGTATCATAAACCATTCCAAACAAATCCAAAAGCGTGCATAATCGAGACTTTATCGCACGTGGTGTGTATAAAGGTTGCTAGGTAACCGCTTCAATAAATGAGCTTAGATTATGTCAGATTTTATTTTGAATTATCAAATTAATCAAATTGTTTACAACTTTACCTAAATCAAGTAACATGAACAGAAAAATTATTTTAATAATTAAATTAAATGTCAAATGACATTTACCTACCCACTCGATAAAATGAATGGAAATTAATAATTTGCATTTTGCAATTAAAGTTATTACTACTATTACTATTGTAATCGTGCATTCATACTAAAAAATATCATATGACACAATGCATAATCGCCTTTAAAACAGTCGCAACGTTAAGACCACTCCTGTACGCGTCGTGGCCTTAAACTCGTTGCTCATGCTTTGAAAGCTCGATTATGCATTAGTGTTATATTAATCAACCTGTTGTTTGGCTTCTGTCAATTTGACATAATTTTAATACATCTGCAGTGAGAACGCATAGGTTTTAACAAAATGATTTCATTGGTCAATTTTTTATTTCAACTGCGTATCTTACGCTACAATTGGATGTACTAATGACGTCACCATTTTTGTGTACATGACGTCATCGACTTCAAAAATGTTTATAATACTAAAAAGTCATTGGTTTGTGAATATATATCAGACATTTTGAATCTAAAAATATCGAATTTATTCCAACCTATACGTCCTCACTGTATATAATTAGAGCGTGAATTTGGACCTCAAAATAAATTTGAAAGGCAATTGTGCTATCTGCCGAATTTTGATGTTGAGAGGTAATGTGTTAAAAGTTCCTCCGTGCAATCTCTTTTTTCATGTAATTTGCTCAGAAAGAATCATCAGGACCTATAAAAAGCTATTTAATACGATGTGCAGGATGTTCAGGTGAACTTAATGTGTAGAAAATGGGAATAGTATTATGTAGATTTAGTTTGATATACAAATGATAAGTTTTGAAATTAAAGTAATAGATTTTGAAATTCAATTGAAATTTTTTGAAAAATATATGACAAATTTGAAATATATTAAACACATTTTAAAATTAAATTGATAATTTTGAAATATATTTGAAACTTTTTTAAATAAAATTAATCAATTTAAAATACAACTGACTCATTTTAAAATTGAATTGATAATTTCGAAATACATTGGATACTTTTTTAAAACAAATTGACTGATTTGAAATGCATTTGATTCTTTTTGAAATTAACTTGACGCTTTTTGAACTACAATGTAGAAAAGGTGTAGTCTCCAAATAAAACTGCAGCCACTTAAGAGCTATTCCTCTAAATCTGTATTTTCTAGCTTGTTCAGTATTTTTTTGTGATTTAAACAGTCAAAAGTTTTGGATAAATCACAAAACACTGTAGCAGCTACCCTGTTATCATTTAAATCGAGGTAGAATTTATCTAGAACAGAAAACATAGCATTGGTAGTATTTTTAATTTTCAAACCCAAACTGGGATGTAGATAGCACTCCGTGTTTTTTAAAAAAAGAAATCTCAGGAAGGACAATTATGATTACCACCCATGTACTTTGTGCACAGGTATAACATTGGCTATTTTTAAAGAATCACTGAAAGAATCTGTCCAAAATGCTTTAATTGTTTTCCTGTAAATTGCACGATATTGAAGTAAGAATTTAAGATAGAATCACTACTATGGGATCTTTTAACTTTGGGGATCTCATGTTATAAATAATATAGCGGTTTGTAAAAGGGTATATATTAATATGAAAAAATAGATAATTCCGTCATGACAGAAAATTATATAATGACATTTCTTTTTTTAAATAAATATTAATGCTTGGCAACCGAGGTCGTCAAGTAGATAGATAGGGTGCACTTAAATCCTGCCTCCCACTAAGCTGCCTTAATAGGTTATATTGATATGTGTGGCATGGGCACCGACCTTGATATTAAACTGGATGGCTATATGACATAAACCCTACTCCTAATTTCTAAGCCGACATGGGTGAAAAAAAACGGTCGGTGCGCATGACAATTTGTGCGCCAGACTGTCAATTTTAAGCATTCTACGTCACATTTTTCACGGGCGTACTATGATAAATTATATTATTTTTTATTAATAACGCCCCATTTTAATAATAATTATTATTGGAACGTTTGTTTCAGCTGCGTATTAATCAAAAATCATTTTTAAGTGATTTTCTTAAATTAAAAGTTGTCTAGTTGAATGTAATAAGTGTTAAATTTAATTTTGATGATCCTTTTTAGTACATTTCGATACGCACATGTTGGCGCCGAAGTGTCAAATATCACCTCGCTATGCGGCTTGATTTTGTTGATCGGCTTTGGTCTTCCAGTTTAATATATAGTTCAGTGGGCATGGGTGTGACATGTATATTATGAGTTGGAGTTAGTATGTAGTGTTTCCAAGGCGCTACAACTACCATCTGAATAGTTTTTTATTAGGTACAAGGAGTGCATATTTTTGCCGAAATTTTAATTCCTTTAGTTATACAATACTTTTTGGGTTTGTTTTTTAGTGTTTTTATAGGAAAAGCATTATTCAATTTTTTAATAGAGTAGTATGAAACTGCTGAAAAGGGTCACAGGATGACAAAATATTAAATCAATTTTCCTCGATACACAGTTGAGAAAATTTATTATAATTAGATTTACTAAATATTCTTCCAGATTTAGATGAAGATATCTGTAATATCTTATAAAGTATGTGACCTAATACCATATCATGATCAGACAAATAATTTTTTGTTACATAACAACTTACGCAATTTAACTCAAAGTTTGTACCGAAATAATCTAATGCACTATTTTCGTGAGTAGGTTTTTTAACATGCGCACTTAGTTTATAACAATTAAGTTGTGTAAAATTTTTGAAATTCGAATCTACAAAATTTGGATAATAAATGTTGAAGTCACCTGTTAAAATTATTGACACGTTTAGTGGTATTTGAGATATAATATTTTCTACACCATTGAAAAATGAATTAATTCGGTGATTTGGTGATCGATATACCACAATTATGAACAAAAATGTATTACTATATGCAACTGAAAATTCAAATTCTCTTCAATAAGAAGTTGGTCATATTTGTTAATATTAACAAAGGTATGTTCATTATGAAAATCGTCTCTAACAAATATACAAGTTCCACCACACTTAAATTCGACTCGGCAAAACATCGAAACTAAGGTATAATTATACACACAAATAGGCTCCTAAGATTCTAGCAGTGATACATATGATTTCTGATTTCTCCAAAGTAACTAAACTAATTCCACCACCTTATTTCTAATTGACCAAATATTGTAATTTATCGAACTAAATTTTGTTCTTGATGTGGAATTTTTAAAATAGAATTAGAATTTTTTCCAGTACTTGAATAATATGTTACTAGAGTTTACATTAACAACAATCACTGGCATGTTAGGATAAGAAGAAGGTAATGTGTCATTTGGTATAATGAATATAAGATTCTTAGTAGTATTTGTATAATTTCCTATTCCATTGACAATTTTAGAAGCAATATCATGTTGCTTTGATTTAAAACTATTTCCTATCATACGTTTTCTTACTATATTTGGCAACACCGCATTTATAGAAATGACAATTGTCCTATTGCCAATAAATATAAGATACTTCGAATTTTTCTTCCAAAACTGTAAAGAACAAAAATGAAGAAATTCTAAACGTTTACGAAAACATTTTTTGCTCTATGGATAGTTTAATATTGATATTTAGCCGTTTCTGCAACAAGAAAGCAATTAAAATAATAATTAATCTTTTTTTATGTCAAGTCATATTATTTATTTGCTGTAGTGTTTGTTGTCAGAGTAACTTAATATCTCCCTAGCAACTCTGTACTTTCTTGTTTCATCTCACCTTTCCTCTAATTTTGTGAGGGGATAATTATCAATGTTTTTCTTTTAAACCAGTTATTTATTCTTCCTAACGTTTAGGATGGGATTGTCCACTTCGCTTCTAAATGCTTCATTGCTTAACGTTTATTATAATCGTCAGGTTCATGAGGATTTATCGCATTTATAACAGACATCTTTATTTCACTTAATTACACCAAACTACCCATAAACGAATATTAAATTTTAAAAATTGTTACTATAGGAAAAGAACGCAACGCTGAAAGGTTTTGCCAAAAAAACATTCCTAAAAACCGCTCGAAAGGCCGGTTTCAAACAGAAATCGTCATCCAAACGTCAAAAATACGTTCTGCCTAACCTCAACATTAACAGCGGAAATAAATACATGACATCCCCTGGGAGAATGAGTCTTCCGATGTCGGACGATTACGGACACGACGACGATTTATCCATGGACGATTTCGAGACCGGTCAACCGACAATTACTCCAGCACCGACCGATGCCAAAACTCTCGAAAGACTGCAAGAACGAAGTTACGTCAGGGATTGGCAGAGATTAGGAATGTGCAATAACAGCGTCTCACCTACAAGTAAACCGACGGCTGACCAGTTCCGTTTGACGTCAGTGAATTCAATTTATATGATGTGCAGAAGGTAAAATATGAATATTTAAATACTTATACAGTGTTGCCAGTCTAGTACAATTGTACTAGATCTAGTACATTTTCTAAGAATCTGGTACACTTGCAGACAAATCTAGTACCTTTTAATTTTTCAGCATGTTGTCATTTGGCGCGTGTAAAAATCGAAAATCGACGTGTCTCGGCGATTTTCCTAACAAGACTCCAGTAACGAGTTAGATAGGGGGGGGGGGGTAAGATTTATGGTGCTCACTGTATACATATCTGTATCATAGCAATAGTTTACAACTTATAATAAAATATAGCAGTTCATTGATTACAGCCCAAGACTAAAATTAATTTAATTTATTAGACCAGTATTAAAATATCTCGGAATGTGTTACATAGTTACCCTAGTCAGCATGCTTAATTGCTTCAAAATAATCCGTTAAATTGTACAAGCATATATCAATCATAAGGGTTTTAATTTTTTGTTTATTTTTTCTAACAGGGAGTGTCAATATCCCTTCTGGTAATGCATTGAAGTAATTTACACCCAGTATTTTAGATTTATTAATCATACAACGAGGTTGGATTAATACATCTTTCCCTCTTGTATGGTATGAGTGGACTTGAGACTTGAAATATATTCTGGCAACACTGTACTTATATACAGGGTTAGTCCGTAAAGTAATATAGGTACATTTTGTTAAAATTTTTAAAATAGTGCGATTAATGTTGCACTCAAAGGACGCGACGGTCGGAGTCCAGGATATATTTTACTTTGCTCACTTTTTCGATGAAGGACATCCAGATCGCTCCATGTCTTCAACAATCTCCCATCCATTCTTGAACTCACTGGAAAACATGAGAACTTGGCAGCGCATCGTTTTTTTAAGCCTTAATCAAGGCAAGCATCTCTGGTGCCGTTTTGCTTAGGTAAAAGCAAAATTTTATCGCATAGGCTGCTTCAGGGAATGCTCCATTTTGGACGCTTTCTGTCCTAACGAAAAATCAAAAATAGCTTTTGTGCTACGCGTGATCCTCATCAAGTCCGAGCTCGGACTGGTGACTGCCGCCAACGACAGGCGCGTTGCTTAGCTTAAACTCCTAGCACACATCCCTTCGCTAGGGGAGCGCGCTACTGGCGACTAGAGCGCCGCGTGGCGGTCAGTCTCATTACTTTACGGATGAACCCTGTATTTACAAGAAACATAATTATTCGGGAAAGCAGATGTATGTAGGTAGTAATTATCCCCTTCGCTATATTTTCTGAAGCTCCAGAAACATTTTTTAAGATTTGCGGCCTTATAAAACACATGACGCGTTAAAGTGTGATGTTTTCTCCGAATTAACGTAAACCAACAATAGATGAGTCGGCTGAGAAAAGGAAACCTGTAATTTTTCTCTTATGTGAGGTCCTTTTTGCTCAATTTCAATCTCAACTCGCCCTTCCTTTATATTGCTTCATACCGCTTCTCTGGAGCTACCAGGATCTGTCTTTAATTACTATTGTATTCTAAGCAATTTATTTAATGAGACAAAACTCAAAATCTAACCCATGTTTATCTTTAATAATTATGGCGACCGGTTCGGCTATAGAGCCATTTTCAAGCCTATAAAATTTTAACAGTTGACAAACATTAAGTTAAAAGAAAAAGGTTATACAAACCTAAGATCTTAGAGGGTTTCTTAAATTAAAAACAATATATTAATGGCATTACTGAATGCACCAACGACGAACAACTACTAGACTAATCATTTTTACAAAAATCGAATTGCAAACATTCAAGGTGTCACCAACGTACCAACGTAGTTGTCAAATTATTATGAGAGTATGGGAGAGTCTTGTTACAAGGATTGATTATGGTTATAATTTGGAATTGCCTTAACATAAGGCTTTAAAACGCACGGAAGGCTTTCAAAATTACATTAAGGAAGTATATTTGCACTCTTGATGCCAGTTATTATCAATTTAATGTCTTTCTCGTTACAACCCACATAGTAGAAGTCGATTATCAAGCAAGTACGCAATTTATTTAAGTGTAAAGTAAGCATCGTAGCCATAATTACTAATTTATTCATAAAACGTGTACCTGCACCCTACATAAATAAACTTACGAAAATCACCCCCACTCAAATTGACAGCCATCTCGCTCGTTCTAACCAAAACACAATCCGAATGCATGCAATAAATAAGGTTTTATTTATGAATGAATGGATTAGTCTAGTAGTTTTTCGTCATTGGAATGCACTTATAATGAGAAATAAAACTATTGTGTTACACAAAGTTTAAATTTAAAAAAGTAGCTAAATTACAGCAAATGAGTTTCATGTGTGGGATGTGAATAAAAATACATATAAAAATAACATTAGGCCAATGAAAATAACAAAAGGTGGCCTAAGGTAGAATAATGCGTTGTTGGTATACACCATTAGCCAACCAATATCTTTTAATATCGCTTGGCACAAGTGCGTGTGAAATCTACAGAGAATCAGCACTAGGGCAAACAAGAAAGGAACAATACCAGCGATGCCAGCCCGTACGGCCAACGTTTCAACGCGATCGATTCGTATAAATGGCAACGTTGACACCATTCCTTTTCCGCTCGCTCCAATGCCAACTCTTTGTAGCTTTCACTCGCGCTTGCCAAGGGATATTAGAAGTTATTCTTCGGCCGATACAGTATATTGATGTGTGGTTTATGGATCAGTAAAAAAAAGAAAATGTAATATTGCACATGTTAGGAGTATTTAATATCTGGGAGGTAGGTAACCAAGTTATTATTCAAACTAGTATATGTAGCAAATCATACTAGTGGTCTTTAACATATACATTTTTGAGTCATTAACCGGTAAATGATTATTAGTCTTCAATTTACATATGCCTCTAGGTAAACAGGTGTAAAAGGGGTAGCCCTAAATCCTAGTATCTCTGCTCGCAAACATTAAAAGATTAGTAATAAGTTTTATATTACATTTATGTCACTGCCGAAATATTTCTATTTTCTACTTTTAGTTATCCTGCTCTATTAGTCGTTCCAGCGACAGTCGCGGATGAAAGTATCAGACGATTTTGCAGATGTTACCGACAAGGTCGGATACCATCAATAACATGGCGCCATCCGCGCACAAAAGCACTTCTTTTGAGAGGTGCAGGACATCATGGAAAAAGTGTTATGGGTATGCTGAAGAGTCATCCCACACCTGCTGCTTCTACGGGTAAATATATCTAAAAATGTATAGTATGAATTGAGTCGCTCAGAAGCATAGTGTGCAAAATTAAGGTTTTGGGATAAAGGCAAATATAAAATTCAGCAGGAATTAAAACCAGTTTTTTCAGTTTTATAGTGCCAAGTGTTTAATTTACGCCATCTACTGGGTAATAGCGAAAGGTTGTTCGTGCCACTATGAAATAAAATATAGGCTAAATGGCCTAAGTCAATTATGCAAAATTTTCAGTTGGGCCACTCTGTTTCTGAGCTACTCAATTCATCTTGCGATAATATGAAGACACATTTTTTTGCTTTGAAAATATGTTAACAGAATAACCTGAATTACAGTTATTTATGAGCAGAAAGTATCTATTTTCTGCACAAACTACAGTGTAAATATGTAGGCCATAACAGTCTATTGAAAGGATGGAATAAGCAGTTCAAATATTTAGTACCTAGCTACTATTCTTTTTTCAAATTTATAATTAGTGATTAATCTACCAAATTAGTTGACAGTATATTTTAGTGATGAGACTTTTCATGAAAAGTAATTTTTGGACTAGTCCGACGGACATGTCCGGAAAAGTAATGAAAAGTAGTCGACCTTGAGAATAGAAGACACACAGTTAAATCTCCATCCTGAATGTTTTTTCAAAAACACTTTGGAAACAATATTTTCATTTTTATTTTCGTTTTTCTTTTTGGCAATTCATTTTTAAAATACTTCCAACCTTTGGATGTTTCGGTAATTTTTTCACTAGTTTATTTTAATAAGATAGAAACGAAAATTCCAATACATCTTTAAAACCTAAAAGCCAGCAATAATTTGTCGTTTCTTCTTTTTTAAACTATGTTTTGCTTTTTTTGTAAGAAATTCAGACAAATTAGTTAATTTAATCTCGCGCATGCGTAATACACTTTTCCACGTTTGGAAAGTGTGTTTGGACTAGTCCGTTGGACTTGTCCATGGACTTTTCCAAGCGACCATCACTATTATTAGTGATGGGACTTTTCATGAAAAGTAATTTTTGGACTAGTGTGCCCGGAAAACAAGTTTAATCAATCAACTGCATTTATTAAAAAATGTACCACTCTTTCTAATTTTAAAATATTTATTAAAAAACATATATGTTATTTCAATTTTTAAAATTGTTTTTTATAATGTAATCTTTTTTATTTTATTTTTATCATTTGTACTCATATTTTATTAATTTTAGTTTCGTATCTATATAATTAATTTTTTGTTTGGTGTGTACTTTTATTCTATTTCATGTATATTAGGGTTTCCTAATTAAATGAAAGATATATCTGTCTATATAGGTATAGAGTAAGGTTGGTGGAACACGTTCTTTATTTCTCATAGAATTAACACAATATCCACTCTTGTTTCACAAACTACTGTTGTGAAAAAGAGTGTATATCTTCTGAGTGCGATACGGACAATCTATCAAGTTTACACTATTTTTTACGACTCACCACATACAAATACAAAATTTTGAAAAATTGATTTAATTGTTAATAAAATTAAACAAATATAAAAACTACTTTGTGGAACCCCATTTAAAATAAAAAAAAACCAGTGGATTTTGTATTAAACCCTGTTTTTACAATCCTGCTAAACAATAATAATATCCTAGAAAACTAAAAAAAAAAACAAGTGCCCAAACCTCAACAGAATATTTATTATAAACTTGTTACTTGTCACTTCCACTTTCTGTCAACGGGAAGAAGCCATCATATTAGCTTACGAACTGTGCTCTGAGCTGGTGTTTTTTCTTGTCTTGTTAAATTATGCAACCACTTCCATTTTTACAGATACAACGTCGTCAACTGAGCAAGAAAAATACCTCTCTGCACTAGTATTAGCAACTCCTGTTTATTCACAACGCACCACTTGGGGCATGTCTGACAGTTCTTTAAGTATCGATTCGCTCCTTTTGGCAGCCGATGATCCATTGGCTTGTACTACGATGACACCCGAAGTTGCAAGGAGATCAAATCCTTTTAACAAGGCGATAGGAACATTAGGGTAAATCACATAAAATATTGTTGTAAAACTTGAATTAATAATTGGTGTACTTAAGTAATTTGTTTGTAAAATTAAATAATATTTCAGCGTCTTTCCACGTTCTTCCGGGGGCAAAGGTCCAAGAAATTTTGGCCGATGGGGCTCTCTTAAGGACCGTAGACAATCGTCGCAAGCTTCTTTAGCTGGTGGACAGAATAATAGGGTAAATTTACGACATAGTGCTGATATAGATAATGGCGTAGATGGAGTTCATTCGCTTCAAAGGGCCGCCCTCTATATTCTCGGAGAAAAAGCTCATATGAAAGGTATCAAGATGGATTCGGCGCCCAAGACCGATTTTATCCCGGTAGAATATTACGACATTCGACACACGAAGGCTGCTTTCAAGAAGCTTATGAGGGCTTGTATACCTAGTTCTCAAAACGCCGAGCCTGAACACAGTTTTCATAGGTGATTATTGTACTGATTTATAAAAAACAAACTTTTTACAAAAATAACCCTTTAGGTTGATAGAAAATTCGGAATGGCTACAACAAATCCAGAACATCATGCAACTGTCAGGCGCCGTGGTGGATCTTTTAGACCTCCAAGGCTCTTCGGTGGCAATTTGCTTGGAAGAGGGCTGGGACATCACAGCCCAAGTCGCTTCAGTAGCTCAGCTTTGCTTGGATCCTCACTATCGCACCATAGAAGGCTTTCGAGTGCTGGTAGAAAAGGAATGGATAGGATTCGGGCATAGGTTTAGTCATAGAAGCAATTTGAACGCTAATTCACAAGCTAGCGGATTCGCTCCCACGTTTTTGCAGTTCCTAGATGTCGTTCATCAGATACAAAAGCAGTTCCCTATGGCGTTCGAGTTCAACGACTACTATCTTAGATTTTTGGCGTACCATTCGGTGTCTTGCAGGTTTAGGACATTCTTGTTCGATTGTGAATTGGAAAGGGTGAGCTTTTTTAACTGTCGTCCTTTTTATATTTTACTCGAGTGGCGTTATTTCGATATTTTAAACTTTGACACAATTAATTAATAATAGAAGGCAATTTCTACATATTATTTAATATTTGTTTGATCTGTTACTTGTAAATTATTTCTTAAAGCCTTTTGGTGCTTGGTCTCACTTGCACTTTAAATAAAACAAGACTATTACTTTAACAGAGCTCTAGATCACGTGCTTACACAATGTCGACTAACCCTCCTCGGTGTAAGCGTAAGTGTGATTCATATCCTACAGTGAAATACAAAAAGCTCTGCTTTGCTTGCGGGCTTGTTTCTTGCCATCCATTACTTTTAAATTGTTATATGTCGTTATTAATCAACACATTCGAAAAAATTACTATTGAGAACAGTTCTAGATTTAATGCTTTTACTTCTCAGAGTATATTATGTCTTCACTATTCCTTTAGAAGGAGATACAGGGTTATCTCTAAAAAATCCTTGTTTACAGTTCGATGAATAATTGTTATACATCAATAAAAATTATTCCTCTATAAAAGCTCTGCTTGTTTGAGTTTTCCTACTTAAGTGTAGGTCAGAAATACATTATCTTAAATAATTTACTAATTCAACATCAACGAATTCTGTTTTATCTAATTTTTACATAATCGGATCAGACCATATTGACCCACATTTTCCTTTTAAGTTTCCCGCATATAACTTGCAGTTCCATTCTGTCAACTGAATTTTTTATTTATTAACTTTGAAGTTGGCAACACTGCCATCGTTTTAATTCCACCATTTTACGATTTTGTATTGATACATTGGCCGCGTTCAGCTGACGCAACAGTTGAATAAAACCGAAAACATGTTTCTGATATGGTGGAAGTCAACAATTAAAAGTACCTGAACGGTATAAGTTGGTTCAGCGGTTAGACAATACACATACACGTGGTGACCTCTAGTGATGATATAAATAAAATCATTTTCGGTTACAAATTAAGATCATGTAAAAATATACTAAGTCATAGTCATAACGGATATTTTTCATCATGGTTTAACTTTAGAATTTTAAAAACAACAATCATGTTCAAAGTTAAGAAATGTGCGGTTATAATCACATACAGATCCATCCACGATACTACGAACACGGTCAAACTGATGACCAATTTACCCTTGTCCGCTACTGTCATAATATATTTAAAAACTAATGTAACAAATATTTTATAAAGTATAAAGTATATCGATACCTTTTTGCCAGACTATCATAAGTGCCCTTTGGCAAAAAGGTATCGATATGTTATGACTGTTTATTTTAATACAAACCATGGAAACGAAACAAACACACACATACACTCAACACAAATGTAAAAGGCCCGAGTCGAGTAATTTCCCATCCTGTAAACTGGATCGAAACCTGCTAGATCCATTCCGTACGCCCCCTGCTAACTCCTCTTAGGGTCGTCAATATCAATAGATTTTATATGCCATGCCTTCTAAAAGGGAATGAAGGATGACATACTATCATCATTTAAACAGGACGTTGTTGAAGGCTTACCCCTGTTATTTCGTTTGTTTGTGTATCTTGTGCGTGTGCATTCCTGTTGTGTCCCCAGTTATGTAAAAGTTTTCCTAGTCTCCTAATTTGGTGACTAGGTGGACCTTCTCCAACTAGTCATCTAATCTATTTGATCTTTTCTGCAGCAGAAGGTACTTTTCAAACATAGCAAATAATATTATTAATAATAAACACTATTTAAAGATGAATACAGTTTTGTATTTTTTTGTCATTGCCCCTTACCTATCTCTTACACCACCAGGGTATACCTATTTTCCATATTCCCTTAATTATAGATTACCTTACAATGTTTGAATGAATATAACATTTTACCCATGAAAAATCTAATTTCGTATTTATCTCTTTTTCAATTTCATTTGAAATAATTGGTATATTACAATTTATTATCAAGGAAATCTTCTAATAAAGTCCTACTTAAACTACTTAAACTACTGGTTGTTCTGCAGGATAAATTAACTTTTCTTGAGATTGTTCTCTCTCTAAAATCCAAAACCGACCTGATGTCCCCAAATTTATTTTCCAATGCATCCTGATTTAAAATTCTGCCCTTTTGTGATTAAATTTTTTTCTTCCTTTAGAGTGGCTATTAGAGGTGGGTGAATGTAAGAAATAGCCAATCTCTAATCATTTCAAAAGTCCTTTGCAGATTTTTTACTCCGCATACATTTTACTTTTCTAATAGGTAGGAACTTTGTGCTGCCATTAAAGCTGTCCAGACATTCATCTACCTACTTAATGAACAAACGAGCTGTAACAATGGATCTCTATTCCAATTCACCTAAAATAATTATAGCCATTTCGTAATATATTATTAAACACACACATTATACAGTGATTTTCTTAATAAATTGGAAATTACTTACCTCTAGAAAGAAATGTGTACAAAAACGAGAGATTGGTTCCAGAAATTGCTTCATGCAAAAAATAATATGCAAAAATAAACACCCCCTCCCCCCCAAAGAAAATTAATTAAACAACAAAATGAGACTCAAAGAAATAAACAGGGTCATAATAATAAAACAAATTCCCATGCATGGACCCAAGTTTATGGCACTCACTGTATGTCATAGACGTGCCATGAAGACCAATGGATATTTTTCAGTAAGATTAATTTTGAGTTTGTGTTTGATTTTAATTGTTATTAAATATATATTGAAAAGTAGTTATTATAATCAGTTTTATTAATGTTAAATGTATTGGTTTATGATCAATGTTAATAAAAATTAATGCAAAACTTGCAAAAATACCTGTAAATATTTCTGTTTATTAAAATAAAATAATTATTGAGGAGACATGAGTGGAAAGGAAATATAAAAATAATTAGGTAAAAAATGATTAAAAAGTAGTTTATTAGAAAAAAGATGATGCATTGGTACTAACATAATATTATGTTACATTAAAATATCATATAGATTTGACAAAAATATTGGAAATTATTCCTTTATGTATCTTTAACAATAAATTTTTGTTACACTTTTATTCATTGAGGAGCTTTGAACAAAACGATTTTAAAATTGCACAAAAAATACTCTTTTTTTGTTTGTTTTGTTAGAAAATAATATTGGCGACATCATTAATAATACACCCTTTGAATTACAATTTTGAAAATTTATTTTTGTAAAAAATGCAAGTAAAAATGGATTTATTTAGTTTTGTTCAAATCCTTTCTACTCGGGACATTTGTATGATACCCCATATTTTATAAGGTAAAAGTTTATACATTAACTACTAAAACGTACTACCACTATCACTAAATATATCCTTGTAATTAATAAAAGAGTCTTATAAAAGTGACGACCACAAATAACTAAAACGGACAAAAAAATATTAAAACCCACTCAAACATGAAAAATGAACTGTTTACGTTTTACTTTACATTTTGTTTAGGTGTTTAGACTTCAACCCTTCGACATTTGACAGTTTTTTTGGCTTGTCGATTACATAGTTTCGAAATTCTCATAATCGATACAATCGATTTTTAATTTTCACAAATTCTGTCTAATCAACGAAAGCATGATCGATCATGTTCTTGTCAAATTTTATTTTTACATTACTAATATTATGTTGCATTTTAGAGATACCTATTACGTAATAGGTAGGCATAAGAAAAATCAAATTATTTTATATAATGGAAATGAATCGAGGAAACATTCAAATTATAAAATAATCGATTTAGAAGTTTTGCAAATTTTTAGGAATAGGAAAAACCATAAAGAAATAAAATTTCTACCCAACCATAAAATACCTTTCACTCCAACCCAAAAATTGCGATGTGGAAAAGTTCAATTGACCCTGTTCTTTAGGATTAAAATTATTATTATGAGCATCAAATATAGTGAATACAATATACCAGTAATGTGAATAAATATTGAAATATTATTCTAAAGTAAAATTTGATGTTTTTTTTTTTCGTCACATTTAACCTACTTACTACTTACCAAATAGGTCAAGTTTTGACAGATTCATTTTTCATGTTACAGTGCAATTATTAAATTGAAACTAAATATCGCCAAATATATTATTCTTCTAAAATATTTATTGATATCTGTATACCTAGATTTGCAACCTGGATATAAAAACAAGTACACTTAAAAATAAAATTATAAATCGAGCTAGCGGTACAGTTGTCGCCATATATGTACAATGTATTGAATACTTGCTTTGTTACAAAACCGCTGGCTCAAGTGTCGCAGCCTTAAGGTTTAGGTTTTCCTAGTTCCTAAAATATTCTTTTTTTTTGTCTGAATATTCACATCCGATGCATTTTTTACCTCTCAAGCGTTTGTTTACCGACTTTGGCTCCAACTACATTTATGTATATTGAATCACGTGATCAAATATTAACAACATCTCAAATGCATCCGATGTGGATAAACAAATACAGCATTAGTAAGTGCAATAAATGACTTCCTTTTGGTTTACTTTAAAATCAAAGTCTAATAATGTCTGAATAATTAATTTATTTTTATAAAACCATATTTTTAAAAAACAATATTTCTGGATGTTTTTCTTTGATTATTTAGGTCGAAAGTGGCGTAGCCGCAGTAGAAGACAAACGCGGCTCTCTGACATCGCACCACAAAAGCGTGGATACAGTATCTGACGACGAAAACATCTATCCGGGCGGCAGAATAGCTTCCTCGTCCCAAGGTAATAATTTGGGACAAAGCGTGTTCGATTATATAGAAAAACAACACGCCAGGAACCCGATGTTCTTCAATTTCATGTACACTCCAGACTTCGAGCACCCAGTGTTAAGGCCGCAATCTTACCTCCCTTGTTTAGAGATATGGAATTATTATATCGATGAAGATTTGCGATACGGGCCGAGCTATGATCCCGAGATAATACAGATGGATTCCCAGCAGGAGGAGGAAGCCGAAGCTGCAGACGGGATTGTGAAGACCAGGAAAATCGTGTGTTTGGGATATGATAGCGTTAATAAATCGGTGCCGGATGCGTTTAGCCACTTGCTCGAAGATATTCATAAATTGGAATCTGAACTGGGACACTTGCCACAAAAATGGAAAATTTTATGGGATAAGCTGGAAGTCCCGCTGACTGATTCACTCACTGTAAGTAAAATCGTTCTTTTTATTTTTATGATAAAGCAGAATTTACATGAATTGCTAGATTAGTGTTGTTGATGGTTGATTTTTTTATAATATAACAATAATAATAATAATAATAATAATAATTTTATTGCAAATTGAAAACAATACATTTTGAAATACATTGCCAAATTTTACCAAATACATTTTTTTTTTTATTTAAATTTTTTAGGTAACACCTAAGCGCGAACGCTTGTGTTGTGTCAAAATTATATAATATAAAAGAATATGTTTTTAGAGTTTTGGGCTAACTTGGACTCTAAAAAAAACAACAAATAAAAGCAAATGAAATAATTATGCAGTTTGATAATAAAATATAGCTATGCAAAACAAAATATACAATTAATATAAAATAAAAATATTTAAACAATAACACTAACACCCGTATGTATGCATAGTCGATCGCCAGCGATTTGCCAGAGATTCATTTCGGCGTATCGCCAGCGATTCGCTGGCGATCCTCTGGTGAAATCCCGAAAAGGTGGCGACTCGCCGGCATGTCATCTCTCGCAAGTTTTCATGTTCTTTTATAGGGATTATCACCGGAATCTCTCGCATTTTATTCATGATTCATTTCTTAAAACTCAAAAAACAATGAACAAATATAAAATTTTTCCCTATAAAAGAACATGAAAACTTCTGTGAAATGACATGCCAGTGACAATCTCCAGCGAGTCGCCACCTTTTCGGGCTTTCGCCAGCGGATAGCTGGCGATACGCCGAAATGAATCTCTGGCGAGTCACTGGCGATTGACTATGCATACGGCTGTAAGAAACATTATTAAAGTATTAATCATTATGCAGCATTACAATAATAGTACTAATTTACTGTGATTTTCAGAGATGTATTTTTTTATTTTCCTCTTAAATAATTTAAAGGGTTATGTTTTAAATGAGTCGGGAATGGTGTTGTATATTTTTATACCTTTGTACAATATACTTTTTTGACATACTGATTAATTTACGCGTTTATAAGATTAGAGCCGTGATTTATTTTGTCTAATTTTATAAGTATGGACGCACTTTATCTAAATTACTATCTTGATGAATAATTTTGAGCAGTGTGTTTATATACATACCTTTAATATCTAGCAAAGATTCGGAAATAAAAATGGGTTTGACACTTTGGATGTTTTATAACTTAAATATTATTCGGATAACATACACAGATGCCGTACCTAAGTATAGATTCAACTAAGCTTTGTAAACAATGAATATAACTGTTTGCTTAGTAAATTTCTTAATGAATAAAATTATGTTATTTTTTTTAGATGTTTAGTTGTGTACTCAATGTGTGTTGACCATTTAAGATGCTTGTCGATATAGATACCCAGGTATTTGATTGAATCAGTTTGTTTTATTTCTTCATGAACTCCATTGATTTTAATTGAAGGTAGATTTTTATTGAGTCCTGCAACTGTTGGTGAAAAAGCAATAATTTTTTTCTTTCAAGATATTTAAACTTAGATAATTTGCATCCAACCAATTTTTGATATCATTTAGTGCTTGTTGTGAATTTTCCCAAGCCTCATCCCATGTATTCCCTGTACAATTTAAGACCTTATCATCAGCATAAGAAATGAGGCTACATTCTTTATAAGAGAGTAAATCGTTTACATAAATTAAAAATAAAGTAGGCCCAAGGATAGTGCCTTGTGGAACACCTGTTATAACTGTTCTTTTTCCACTTAATTCACAACCAATACGTACTTGTTGTGGTCTATCTGTCAAGTAGTTACAAAAATGTTTTAAAACATTACCGCGAAAACCCATGTTATCTATTTTTCCAAGTAATTTTTAGTGTGAAACTGTATCAAATGCTTTCTGAAGATCAAGAAAAATCGCAATATTCTTTTTATTTTCAATAAAGTTGGCTAGTATATCTGATATAAGTATTTGTAAAGGTAGTTCTGTTCCAATTAGTCCATTTAAAATAACGGTAAAAGGTCGAGAAACGCCGCACTTGGTAGTTTGGGGCGCTGATTACGAAAATGAGGATTAAAACTGGCAGCAATGGTTGGAACACCCCTAAAATTGCCAGAAACACCCTTAAATAGGGGTGTTTTTCGACTGTACTTGTTGTTTTGCAAACTAAGCCATCTTATATGTTTTTTGGGGCGCTGATTACGAAAATCGGGGTTAAAACTTGCAGCAATGGTTGAACCACCCCTAAAATTGCAAAAATCACCGTTAGATAGGGGTGTTTTTCGACTGTACTTGTTGTTTAGCAAACTAACTCATCTCATATGTTTTTTGGGGCTCTGATTTCAAAAATCGGGGTGCCGAGACTGGAAAATTTGTGTGACACCCCCACATGCCAGAAATACCACTCCCAAGGGGTGAATGTTTATTGGGGCGCTGATTACGAAAATGGAGGTTAAAACTAGGCTCTGTGGTTTTGAAGTTTTTCACGAAACTGTACTTCTTTTGCATTTCATCCTGGTGCATGTCCCAGGTATCTTTAGTCCTGAAGCAAGTAGACTTTCGTCTGATTACTCCGTTCCTGATCATTCTATATCGTGTCCTTTTTGCCACATTCTCTATCATCAAATGTAGAGGGGTGAGGTTTAAGATCACCTCCATTGCGGCCGTAGGAACAGGTTCTCATTGCACCAGTAATGCAAACACAGGCTAGTCTTTGTACTTTTGAGATATTAGCTCTCGTAGTAGCTAAACTAGTTCTGTTACTCCAGGCTATAGCCCCGTAAGTGATGATTGGTCTCACTATTGCAGTATACATCCATCGCAGTATGTTTGGGTTACATCCCCATCGTTTACCTGCAATGTTTCTGCATACCATTAGGGCTTTTGTGGCCTTATTTACTACTTCCTTCTCATGTGTGTTCCAGAGAAGTTTGTTGTCCAGGGTTAGGCCTAGATATTTGACTTAATTTTTCCATTCTATATCTATCCCATCTAATTTAACGGTTTTGAGATTTAAGTTTTCTTGTCGTTGAAAAGGCTACTAGTGTTGTTTTTGTAGGGTTTATACTAAGTCCCACTTCACGGCACCATCTTTTGGTAGGCATATTTGTTACTTCATTTATTATTTCCCAGGTTTTTTTATAGTTTAGACTGACTTCATTTAGTTTATTTATATATTAATTATTTTTTGTTGATTTTATTAATCTATTTAAAAAATGTCAATACCTATTTAATTGTATTCTTCTTTAGTGGAAATATTTTTATTATTTAAAACTTTCTTTTTTAATAAATCCCGTTTTCTAATTGATGTTAGTAGTCCTGCGGTCATCCACGGTTTTATTTTTTATGTTTTTATTAGCATCTTCAAGAATTTTATTGAATTTTTCATAAAGTAAGTTAGTCGCTTTTTTGTGGATCTTGACACTTATACAACTCATCCCAATTTACGATTTTCATTTTATCCTTAACTAGTGTTTCATTTATTTTAATAATTTTTGTATAACGAGTTTTTTTAGCAGAACAGTAATAGTATGTGAAATTAAAAATTGTTAACAAATACAGAAAATAGCATTGAAAATGTAAACAAAAAGTAGTAGTAGTCTAGTTCCGAAATTTTTAATATGCCGAGTGTTTAAATTAAAGTGTTATAAAAAAACGTTTCAGAAGAAAGTTTTAGAGTTTTTTGGGGAAAAATTTTTGCCTAAAATCGTTTTTTTTTTTATAGCTAACCATGATATGGCCAATTTTTTTTGCGCAGCAAAATTTTCAAGTAGGTGTTACTCAATAAGTAAAAAGCCCAATAAAAAAATGTTTCCTTTAAAAGTTTCTTACTTTTTTATGAACTTTAAGAATATGTGAAAAAAATGGGGTTCCAATTTGAAAAAAAAGTCCACCTCGATATGGCCATATTATGGTCAGCTATAAAAAAATGAATTTAGCCAAAATGTTTCCCCCAAAAAACTATAAAACTTTTGTCTGAAACCTTTTTTTATAAAATGCATATTATCGGCAATATTTAACTGTAACACTTTAATTTGAACACCCGGTATAATATATGTGTATAATAATTTTAATATTTATATTTTAGTGGTCATCAATTTCAGCTGTAGTTACGAAACTGAGATTTTACAGCAATATTTATTTCTTAATCTATTAACGTTCTAAAAAGCACAAATGATACCTTATATTCACATCACATATTCGACTATTTTATAAATAAAATAAACTATTACACAGATAAAAATACAAAACTGGTAAAAATAAAAAATAATAAACAAAAAATAAGAAAACCATGGATGACTCAGGGTTTAGCCAATTCTATTAAAGAAACAAATAAACTATACTTATTAAGTTTAAAAAATCCTGAAAATAATGAAATTAAAGAAAGATATAATAGGTATAAGAATAAAATCAGATCCTTAATAAATATAAATAAAAAAAGTTTCATGAATAATTTAATAGACAAAAATAAAAACTCATCTTCAGCCTTGTGGGACTGTGTCAACAAAATCTGCGGCAAGAAAAAACCTAACACAAAAATTGAAAAACTTATAAAAAAACGGACAAGAATTAACAGATGAAAATGATATTGCAGATAACTTCAATAGCTACTATATCGAATTGGGACAGAATCTTGCAAACAACATATTACCTCCAGATGACTTTGAGGAACAGTTAGACATACTTGAAAACACTATGTATTTACACCATGTAACTGAAATAGAAATAAAGCATGTTATAAATACATTAAAATCTAAAAAAGCGCCCGGATGGGACAAAATAAGAGCTGAAACAATTAAGGAAATTAAAAATGAAATTTTACAACCCCTAACCTATCTAATAAATAAAAGCTTTAATGACGAATGCTTTCCAGAATGCCTAAAAATTGGAATTATCAAACCGCTCTATAAAACAGGTGACAAAACGTTGACTCAAAATTATCGACCTATATCATTGTTGTCAATTTTTTCGAAAATATATGAAAATATCCTTAAATTGAAAATAACAAATTTTTTAAACAAATCCAAAGTCGTAAATGATAATCAGTATGGGTTTAGAGAAAAAAGGTCGACGGAAGATGCAATACATGCTCTAATCTCCAAACTATACCATACTTTAGATACAAAAACACCTGCAATTTGCATTTTTGTTGACCTCTCAAAAGCGTTTGATACGGTATGTCACACGCGTTTACTAGAAAAAATTAAATGTTATGGATTGCGTGAAAAAATATATAATATTTTAGAAAGTTATTTAAAAAATAGAACGCAGTACGTGAATGTCAATGGAGTATTCAGTGATCCAAAAACAATTACCTACGGCGTTCCGCAAGGGACTGTACTGGGACCTCTTCTATTCACTCTATATATAAATAGCTTGATGACATTACATACAAATGGAGAAATAATCAGTTTCGCCGATGATACTGTCATAATTTTAAAGCAGTTAAAAAATGGTTTCAACTCAATAAACTAACATTAAATAACGAAAAAAAAAAACGAAATATTTACCATTTACCTCTTATGTAAATAATTTGCCGAGTTTTGGTCCAATGCATATAGATGACAAAACTCAAATACCTGAAGCATCGTCAATTAAGTACCTAGGTATCACTTTAGATAGGCATTTGAAATGGGATCTACAAATTAAAAATATTACTCATAAACTTAGAGGTTTGTTACATAAATTTAAGTACTTACGCGACTTTTTAAATGAAGATCAGCTGAAAACTTTATATTTGTCTCTGGTACAATCGCATCTTACTTATGGTATTATTGGGTGGGGTGGTGTGGCAGACTGCCATTTAAAGCAGTTAAAAAATATACAAAAATGGCTAATCAAGCTTATATTTAAAAAACCTGTAACTTATCCGAGTGACGCATTATTCAGTGAAAGTACATTTTTTGATATGAGACACTTTTAAAAGAAAAATTCAAGTAACTTCTCAACATAATTACCCTACTAGAGGTAAATGCCCTTACCTTCCAATAGCTTTAAAGACTGTTGGTCAATGCTGTATTTTGCTCCAAGATTATCCAATATGTTACCAGATTACATTAAGGATATTAATAAACTTTCCTGTTATAAATATGCTATAAAAAATTGGATAGCAAGTAATAACATATATATTTTTAATAGCCTAATTGATTTAAGATATCTAAAATAATTTATAATTAATAAATTTTCCACTTCAACAATTAAAAATAATAATAATAATAATACTTAATAACTATATTTCATTATGAATTAAATAATCGAATATATCTATATTTTATCTCCCTGTTACTATTTGTTCTACTGTTTGCTTATTATGTTCTATTATTTGTTTTATTACTTGTTTAATGTTATATTATATGCTTTGTTACTTGTTTCATTATTTTGTTTATCATGAATTTATCTATTTATTTATTATTCTATATCGAATTTTATTTGTATTTAAAAAAAAATTTTAAATATCCTAGCTCGCACACAGGCATTACAATGCCTCAGCAAGTTACCAATGTTTATATTTAAATTAACTATGTAATTGTAATTTATATTTCTTTTTTTTTTTTTTTGAATAAACATTATTATTATTATATGCATTGGAAAACAAAATTGTTACTGTTATTTTACGCATAGCATTCATCTATACTTTTTTCTAGCGCCATGCTTCCTTTAGCACTGCCCTCGTCAGATCGCACGGTAGATTAGTACACAAAAGATCGACATTAGAAATATTAATGAGAGGTAAGATGGTAGGGGCGGCCGAGAGTTCGCTCATCTACTCCCATCCGCACCGATTCGAACGCTACAACTACACTACTCCTACTTACTGTGATCATTGCTCGAATCTCCTTTGGGGGCCTGTCAAGGTAACAATTTTTCTTATTTCTAATACATTTTTATTTAAAATGTCACTATTTCAGACTGGTATGAGATGCATGGACTGCGGTTATAGTTGTCATGAAAAATGTATGGATAGCGTACCTAAAAATTGTACCAAGTACAAATCAGTGGCGGATAGTGCAACGTCTCATCCTCAGGGCAATACTGGTGACAATGCATCTGTAAGTTCCGGTAAGTAAAAATATAAAAAACATTGTTTTTCCTTTTTAGTGTTCTGTCACACATTTGGCAAAAAGGAACACTCGTTGGCTGTCTGTCACAGACGTTTTACTTAGAGAGTATAACGCCGAAATATTAAAGCGAGTTATTAGTTACATGTTAACATTTAAGATCTGATGAAAATTTTAACATGAACTTTTCACATAATGATGAGACCGTTGCTAATTAATGGAATAAACATTTTTATTAACCTGCCAAAAGAAATGTAAATATCTTACAGAATCAAATTAAAAAATTGTGTTTATGTAAAATAAAAGAATATGAGGTAACTAACAAAATATTGTATATTATAATAGCAATGACCAGTGGCGGCTCGTGGTAATTTAAAATAGGTGTTCACTTTTTCCAATAATTTTATCATTTGTGAGTATTCAGTTCAAAACCTTGTATAAGTGTAGTTATTATTATATGTGCACGAGCTTGATCGAGCAGCCTCGGTTCTTGCTTGTATTGCTCGAGCACGCTCGAGCGGAGCTCCGAACAGTACGACCAGTCCGATGCCCGAGCGGCTTCTGTATAATATTCGGCTCGAGCGCATCGCGTATCGGCTCGGCTCGAGCCTCGAACGATCCGAGTGTTCCGTACTCCGAATCATTCGAACTCTCGGTAATGAACTGCGAGCTCAACCCAATAGAGCTTATTTTGGCGGACATAAAAAACTATGTTGCCAAAAAAATATTACTTTTAAATTTTGCAATCTTAAAAATATTTTTAGTGAAGCTGTTTTGTCTATTACCGCGGAAAAATGAAATAATTGCGTAGGGCATATAAAAGATAGAAGTGAAAATAGAAGTGAAAATTAGAATTAGACCATCTAATGGATGAATTAGTTGATAGAAATCAGTTGATAATTAATCTAAATGATGATTCTTCTAGTAGCAGTTCTTCAGATACTGAGTAACCGGTCTAAAATGACAAAAGGATTTATTATGTTTTTATTATTTATACGCTATTATTAAATAAACATCATTTTGGAGTTGAAAAATGTTTACCTGTTTGTCCTGCTGAAATAAAATGTCCACATTTTTTTGTAGTTCATTAAATGTTAAATACACAAAACTGATTCATTAGTTAAAATTTGAGTAATTTTTCCAAACCTCGATCGTCCCTTAGTGTGACTCTGTAAAAGCAGCTTCGTCAGAGATCACGTGTACAAGGTGTAATAATGTTTTCGAGCACTCCATTGCTTAGATGGACCGAGTTTATGACTGGTTACTTATTCGAAATATCAAATAATTTTCATTTATTCGAATGAAAAAAATCCTATATACTTACTGTAAACGTAAATGAAGTCAAAAACTTATTCTTATCACACTTATATTACGGGGACCGAAACACATTAATCACTTTTCACCACTAAAATTAATGTTGAATGATTCATTCAGAGTACGGAACGCTCGGATCATTCGAAAAAACTCGAGCCGTACCGGTACGCGATGCGCGGAACGCTCGTATTGTTCGGAGCTCCGCTTTAGCGTGCTCGAACTGCAATTTTTCGAGCTTGATCGCGAGCGGTCGAACTTTACAAGCTCATGCACTTCCCTAATTATTATTAATATCATACTATTTTTAAGCCCTACAACTATTAATGAATAAATGAATATTTTAGTTATTGTAATATTTGTTTTGTTTTTAATACGTTGAAAACCATCTATAAACATTATTAGTTAGTCAACTGACTTTTCTTCATAATTTGAGATTATTTTTAAATGTAGAAAGCTTGATATTGATTTTTGTTTAAAAAATATTATATGAAACTACCTACCATTTTTCAGTTTTTATTGTAAGTTTAATCATTTTCACAATTTGTCACACATGTTAAATAAAATAATATATTTTTTAAATACCCTTTATTGGCAAAACAACAAGTGAACTAAAATGTGTATTTTATAAAATCAGTCCCATCACACTACATAATATTACACAGATACAAACTAGAATGAAGATATATAATGCCGTGGCATTCTAAATCATAATTTTCACAGTTTAACAAAACCTCTTAACTCCCATTTTCAATCAGATTATTTTAAGAATCCCCTTGTAGAGCTTGATTTATTTTAAATATTTTAACCCCCACTTTTATTCATTTTTTTTATCACAATCAAACACTTAATGGAATGTGTGTTACTAGCTCTTGGACTATAATAGAGATTGATTTTTACTAAAAATTTTATGTTGATATCGCTTTCATTTCTGATTTATGATTCTTTTTTAACCCCCCTTAAACCCCCATTTTTAATGATTTTTGTTTTCAAAATTAAAGGGCTTATAGGGCTTGATATTTACTAAAAGTTAAAATCATTTTTCGTTTTTGAATAATGATTTTTTTTTATATTTTAACCCTCCTAACTACCCTATTTATTCAGATTTTTCAGAATCAATAGACTTTATCTCTTCTTATAGAGTTTCATTTTTACTAAACATTTCATGTTGATATCGCTTTTCGTTTTTAATTTAGGATTTGTTTTATTTCAACCCATCTTAACCCCCTATTTTTAATCAGATTTTTTCAAAAACAATAGGCTTTGTCCCCTTATAGAACTTGTTTATTGCTTAAAATTTTCAAGTTAATATCATTTTTCGTTTTTGACTTATTGTGCATACAAAAACCATGGTTATTTATTGTTTCGGCCTTTACTTGATGAAAATCCATTTAATTTTGAAAGAGTAAAACCAAATTTGGTAGATTTTCACACTTTTATTTTAAAAATAAAAATTTTTAAACAAACACTAACATGACATATGTTTCGAAGTACAACTTCTTTTTCAAATGTGACTATTTACAATTCGGTATCCAATATATATACAAAATAATTTAACAAAACAAAGTACTTAAGAAAACATCAATAACATTACAAAATAAACTAACTATTTAAAGTAAATAAGGGTACTTAGGTAATTATAATATCCATCAAATAACAATAAGATAGCCCATTACCGGGATTATCTCACAGAAAACTGGGAAAGAGGTTTAATAAGGGTGAATTATTAATATCTAATTGATCATTTAGTAAGTTATCTGAATTTTTAAATCTATTTATTTCAAGTGTTTCTAAATGGTTTAATTTAAGGCTCTTATTTTCTACATGTAAAATTTCAAAGTTGTCTGTAAAAGAATGATTTTCAGCTAAAATATGATTTGAGTAAGTAGAATTATTTTTGTTTTTTGTATAGCTATTATAATGTTCGGAATAGCGTTTTTTGAAAGTACGGCCTGTTTGACCAATATACAATTTTGGACAACTACCACAATTTAATTTATATACCCCCGATTTATTATTAGGATTAATTTTACCCTTATTGTTTTTAATATACTTCCCAAGCGTATTATTGGTTTTAAAAGCTACGTTAATAAAAAAATACTTGGACAACAATGAGACAGCGCAACGAACAGCTGACTTAACTCAAATGAGAGCCTCGTTAAAAGCTGAATTGGATTCTCGCTTTAGCTCCTTGAGTAAAGATCCGACTTACCTTATCGCAACTTTTTTAGATCCCAGATTTAAAACAAACTATTTGGGAGCAGTTGAAGCAGAAAGAGCGCGACAGAAGATCTTATTGGAATACCTAAAAATGACTTGCGACGAGTCTTCTAACAGCGGTAGTTCATCGGGGTCTCCAATACCTATTAAAAGAGTCAGAGAAACTAATTCAAATGTAACTTGCGAATCTCACGACACATTTTGGAATTGTTTTGATGAAGTAGCAAATGAAAACAATAGTCAATGTCGCGATCAGGAAAAAAAAACCCAATTGCAAACGAGATCGACTACTATTTGAAGACAGTTCGAATTGATCGCAGCCGCGACCCTTACATTTGGTGGTCAGTTAATTCCAAACACTATCCATATTTAACCAAGTTTGCCAAAGTGTACCTTTCAGCTCCTTGCAGCAGTGTTTATAGCGAGAGACTGTTTTCCGAAGCTGGCTTGGTGAACAAAAACAAGCGAAATCGACTGTTGCCTGCAAACTCTGAACATTGGGTCTTTATTCACCATAATTTACAACTTATTCATTTTGACTATTAAAAGATAGTTTTAGGTTTTCAAAAGAAGGTTATTTTTTTTTTGTTCTTTGTGACTTTTTGTGTTTTTGTAACTTTTTCAGCTTTAAATAAAAGCAAGTCATAATTTTAAGCCATTTTGTTATTATTAATAATTATTATTATTTATAAAAGATTTATGTATTAAAGTTGATTTCAGGGAATTGTCACGAATCGTGTCGTAATTATTGAATATCCGGTATCCGGCCGGATATTAAGCTACTATCCGACATCCGGCCGGATATTAAATTTAGGGCGGATAGGCCGAATACCGGATAGTTTCCGGATATCCGTTTCATCTCTAATAATAATAATATAATCAATGCTAAAACAATAACATAATAGCCTAAAAATAGGTATACTAAAAGAATGATAAAGTCAAGTGTTGAAAATTGTTTAATAGGTATATCAGTATTTCGGAGATAAACTATGCTGTCATTCTTGTCAGCTTTTTAGTAGAGCAGACTGAATGTTGGTTGAACACTTTTCGTGTTCCATATTTACATATAATAATTATATTTCGACAAGAAATTTAGTTGACCCCAATTATTGTCACAATGTGTATTGTTTACTAATAATCTATTAACTTTTTTTTTAATATACATGAATTGTTGGTTTTTGTAACATATTTCTATGTTCTGAAAACAAACATGTCTATAAATAGTACAACTAACGTGAGAGTTAAAAAGTGTTGTTTAACGTTTAACTTATAAGTTTATTAAACATTCAACATAGTGTCATCTTTTTTTTAAGTCAATTTATATTGTGACATCACTATACATGGTATAGAATACCCCGATGAGCCGATTTTAAAAATATAACCTTTATAAATCGGCACTATGTCGACATAGTTTACCACCCAGGTAGATATCGGTAAATATTTAATTTAGTCTTCATGATATAGGTATATACTTAACATACACACAACTATTAAGTTTCTTGAATTAATTAAGGCCAGTGCAATATTTATATATCTTCTTTAATAAAACTCTAATGGCAGTTTATAAAATCCTCAGTGCTATATCAATCTGACACTGTTTATCAGTACCTCTGGCATTTATAGATAGGGCATTTTTCTATAACTTCAATTGGCAACCTACAAAATAAACAATTATTCATATAAAATTGTACTTTTTGTCCTCCTTTAGCTAATTTTCTAATTCTTCCAGGTCAATTTCTTGCCTTACAGGATTTTTCTCATAGAAAGTGTGTATGTAATTCTGGTAACACTATATTTTACTTTCAATTCGCCATTAGTATTAACCATATTAGTAAATTCACTCTAGAAATTAATATTTGGAATAACCTGTCTTCTAACATCACTTGTAGGTCCTAAAAACTAACAATATAGTAAAATGTGTTTATTTTTATATAGAACACATGATGCAACTGATTTTTATTTTACCTATTCGAAGCGATCAAGCCTGATCAAAAAATTTGAGGTTATTCTCTTCTATTAAGTTTTTACATGTATTTGGTGTTAATTTTTACCTGTAAGCATTTAAAACTTTCTCAGAATATGAGCTACAGGTATATGACTTTTAGTATTTTCTAAGAATGTCTTGTTATAGCACGTGCTTAAGGCATGTACTCAGTAAATAAATACTTTTTAGAATATACTTTCAAAGCACGTACTCAGTATATACTTTCTAGAATATACTTTCAAAGTATATACTAGGTATGTTCTAAGAACATTCTAGAAAGGACATGCCAAAAAGAACATAAACAGAACGTTCTTAGTATATTCATAGAACATTGATACTATGTGGGTTTAGAAACATCGTAGGGACGTACCATTTATCTCAGAAACATAGATCAGTGTTATTAGGGAATAATAATGGTTCCAACTCAAGTAGACACTGCATGACAAATACTTACAAAAAAACGTCTAAAATATTTTTTACCATACAGAATACCTAACCTGAATTTTCATACTAAAGAACTGTAATTGCATACTTGAATATAACTTTTAATTCAAAATAACATTACTTTATAACATTCTTTTGTATTGTAAAAAATAAAGGTTCTGTAACGATAGTTTAATTTATTTAGTGTTTATTTATTTAAAACACATTATTTACAATTTATTTATAATATATCATTAATTTTATTGCACAAATTGATAACCGAAACCAAAAATGTATTATTTCAACCATTATTTGGTAATTGGGGTAAATATACCTACCTATTTATAATATATTATGTAGGATCAATGCCACTAACAGATTCTTACAATAAGAATTTATCCCAAGTAGGTACTTGCGACCCTAATTAGACAGCTAAATATTTAATTCCCCATAAACGAGAAAAACCTTGTTATAGAATTGGTAGATTGCCTAACAACATATTTCAACGCGGTGTTGACAGATCTTTTTTACCAGGCCAACTTAACTGAGAACATAAAATAAAAGTACGGTTGTATGTATTATTTTGCCGGACGATTTTTGCGATATAATGGACAAAATATAGAGGTTAAAGAGTGTAGCTACATCTACGTAGGAAAGGATTAACTAAAATTTAAATCATGTTATCAAAAACCGGAAGTGCTGTGGCGTCCTTAAGTGATTTTATGATTATTTCACTATGTACAATAAAATTATTAAAATTGAATTAATATTTTTACGTTATTTATTTTAAAATAATGTGTTTTTATGAAATGTAACTTTGTGTTCACTGCACAAATGAATCAATGGAGAAACCGTCCCTGGCAATGACTAAATAAACGTATTCATTCATTTATTCAACTTATTTTAAAACAATTATGGCACAGAACACTATTGAAGAAGTATGACTTACACTTGTCTACATTTTTTTAATGTAATTATCCTTTGTAGGGAGTGCACGACAAACATCTAGTCAACAATATTACGATCAGTTTTCATCGAATGTCGCTGAGGATCGTACACACGAGGGATATTTATATAAGAGAGGTGCGTTGCTCAAAGGGTGGAAACAGAGATGGTTTGTACTCGATTCTATCAAGCATCAGCTCAGATACTATGATGCTATGGAGGATTCTCATTGTAAAGGTTACATAGGTAAGTAAGAATCCATAAAAATAATGTTATTTATTCTAATGACTTATTATAATGGGTTAAGCTTTTTGCAGTCTGTCCAATGTTACTTGATTAATTGATTTATTTTTTATGAAATAAGTTGAACTTTTTATGTTATGTTGAGAATGCGACCTAAAAGATCTATTGTGCTCCCTTCTGTCGCCACTGCACTAAGGAAATGTCTCAATGCCTACTACTCTCAGTTTACTTAGCTGTCCTTTTAGTCGGCAATGCCCGGTAAGGATCCCTGTTACAATACATAACTTGTTCTTGCTCAGGCAGATGCAGGCTTCCGATCTTTTCTGGTTATATTCACCCAGAAGTATCTTGGCCTGTCTCAGCCCCAAGAGATTGTTCCAATTATCGGTTCTTCTACTGCCCAATTCTTTTTTAATCTCTCCTAATATTATGTTACTGCTGATACCGCAGAACAGCTCAGGTCCTACAAAGGGTGTTTGAGCCCCTTTCCTTGCAAGATTATCTGCAATCTCGTTACCCTGTACACCGTTATGTCCCGGGACTCAAGTGAGAGTAGCTCTATTTTTCTCGCCTAGCTCATTCAATTGTTCTAGGCATCTACAGACCATTTTTGAGCTGATTACGTAAGAGCTCAGCGCTTTGATGGCTGCTTGACTATCGGACATGATGATAATCTCTTGTCTATGATAGTTTCTCTTCGATGTTAAACTGGATAGACTTCTCGATGGCGTGAATTTCCGCCTGGAAGATGCTTGGGTATTTTCGCAAGCTTTCGGAGTGCTTGGTTCTCAGCCCATACATTCCTATTCCAGTTCCTTCTATGGTTTTGGAACCGTCCGTATACTACTGAATAGCACGTCTTTTGGTTACAAGCGCGATGGATTCTTAGCTCCATTCTTTCTTGCGTGGTTTTGAAGTTTTTCACAGAACTGTACTTCTTTATCATTTCATCCTGGGGCATGTCCCAGGTATCTTTAGTCCTGAAGCAAGTATACTTTCGTCTGATTACTCCGTTCCTGATCATTCTATATCGTGTCCTTTTTGCCACATTCTCTATCATCAAATGTAGAGGGGTGAGGTTTAAGATCACCTCCATTGCGGTCGTAGGACAGGTTCTCATTGCACCAGTTATGCAAACACAGGCTAGTCGTTGTACTTTTGAGATAGTAGCTCTAGTAGTAGCTAAACTAGTTCTGTTACTCCAGGCTATAGCCTCGTAAGTGATGATTGGTCTCACTATTGCAGTATACATCCATAGCAGTATGTTTGGGTTACATCCCCATCGTTTACCTGCAAGTTTGTTGTCCAGGGTTAGGCCTAGATATTTGACTTCATTTTTCCTTTCTATATCTATCCCGTCTAATTTAACGGTTTTGAGATTAAGTTTTCTTTTCCTTGAAAAGGCTACTAGTATTGTTTTTGTAGGGTTTATACTAAGTCCCACTTCACGGTACCATCTTTTGGTATGTTCTAGTCCTCGTTGGACTATATCACACAGGATATTACTAAACTTGCCCCTAGCAAATATGACTATGTCGTCGGCATAACCTTGACAGGGTATGCCGAGGTCAGTCAATCTGCATAGAAGTTCGTCTACGATTAGGCTCCACATTAGTGGGGATATAACTCCTCCTTATGGACATCCTCTGGTTGTGCAGATGGAGATGGTGTCCTGCCCTATCTGTGTCTCTGCAGTTCTCGTAGATAACAGCTAAGCCATCCATCTGGATGTGATGTTATCTACTCCTCTGTATGCAAGTGCTCTTTTTACAGATTCGTGTGACGTGTTGTCAAAAGCTCCTTCTATGTCTAAGAACGCACACACGACCGTTTCTTTGTTTGTCAGTGCATCCTGGATTACATCAGTCAACTGTACCAGGGCAGTTTCTGTAGATGTTCCTGCTCGGTACGCGTGTTGGCTGTGGTGGAGTGGCACCCTCTCCAGGACTTCTGTTCTGATATAATTATTAACAGCCTTCTCCATTGTTTTTAATACAAAGGATGTGATGCTGATTGGACGGAAAGATTTAGGATGTGTGGTATCCTTTTTCCCTACTTTTGGAATAAAGGTGACTCTGGCCCTTCTCCATGCTTCTGGTATATATCCCAGCTCCAGAATGCTCCGGGATAGCGGGATTATGTGTGGTAGTAATTCCTCCTGTGCCTGCTGAAGCAGGGCAGGAAATATTCCATCCACACCTGGAGACTTAAACGGTTCAAAAGTGTTTACGGCCCACCTTAACCGATTTCTGCTGCATATGTGTTTGGCCACTACAGCGGCCTCTCTTGGGGGGTTTGCTTACCTTAGTTGTGTCTCTTATTAGAAAAGGTGTGCTTCCAGAAAAGTGAGTTTCGAGTAAGAGGCGAGCTCTTTCCTCCTCACTCTCCGTGAAGCTTCTATTTGGTTTCTTTTAATGCCATAACTGTATCAACTGTCCCTTTTGCCAGGGCCCTGCGCAGTCTCGCTGCCACAGGTGTAGAGTTAATATCCTCGCAGAATTTTCTAAAGCTGTTACGTTTAGCTTTTCTGATTTCTTTGTTGTAGATAGTAAGCGCCTCGGTGTAGCTCTGCCAATCTCCGCTGTGCTTGGCCCTATTATAGATCTTCCGCACTTCAGATCGTAAGTTTGACAGATGACGGTTCCACCAAGGAGTATCCCTACTAGTTCCATTTCTTTGAATGGGGCAGCTTAATTCATATGCCTCAAGTATTGCCCCATTTAGTTCTTCGAGATCGCTTTCCAGAGCAAGTGGGTGCCCCGGCCCCTTTTTTGTCTGGATGCATGCTAAATTTTGTTTTAGAATGGAGTTGTTTTTGTCCCAGTCTGTTTTTCTAGGATTCCTCCTGAGGATCGTCTCAGGAATGTCGCTTTCTAACGTAAACACAATTATCTTGTGATCAGATAGAGATGGTTCACTCGATACCCTCCAGTTTTTAACTAAATCTTTAATGCTCGGTGTACTTAATGTGATGTCTCATACCTCACTTCTTGCCCTTGGTACAAATGTTGGAGTATTCCCAATATTTTGCACAATAAGGTTCTTATTAAAAATATATTCTCACCTCTTTGATTGGTGTCGATGCTTCCCCATACAGTGCTGTGCGCGTTGGCGTCGCATTAAATAAGTAATGGCAGATGTCTTCTCTGGCAGTACTCCACTAGCCTCGATACTTCCGTGGGTGATACATGCCCATCTCCGGCGTAGTAACTAGAAGCTATTACTATGTCTTGCCGCCTCATCCCTAATTCCAGGTATGCTCGAATTGGAACGAGATCACGCGTCATGAATTCTGAAAGATAAGAATATTTAATATTATTTCTTACCATTATGCATGTTCTGGGTACTTCATCACTAGTGTGATAAATTACCCTTGCATCCTTACATGCAACTCCTCTTACCTGGTTTCCATAGACCCACAGTTCCTGGATCAGTACGATCCCTAATTGATCTTTAGTGAATGTCCTGGAGATCACAGCCGAGGCTCCCTTGGCGTGATGGACATTCACTTGGGCGATGTCGATGCCCGCCATTTTACTCTCCTTTAATGGGGGTGTTGTCCCCATCGGTGAGGGTGTGTTCCATATCCCCCTTTTCTGCTTCTTCATCAATTTCTACATCCTCAGATGACTCTAAGCAGAGATTTGAGAGGTTAAGGCTCTCTATGCTCTCCACATCAGTCTCATCTTTGGAAGTACTAGGAGTTGGTTCTGTTGTTTCTCCCAGTTCCTTTATTTCTTCTCTCGTTTGAAGGCCGTGTACGGGGATTTTCCCGAATCGATAGTGGATAGTGCATCCATTATCCTTGATCCGTTGGCAGGATAGGTCATCTATTCCTAGCCTAAGGATCTGGCCTTTGCCCTCGTCTTTTTGGCTGACGATTTTCCACAGTGCGGTCGATAGCCCCACATTCTGCGCTTCTATTAACTGTAGAAGCTTCTCTACAGGCTGCCCTTGACTTCTTGGGAGAAAGAGCGTGGCTGTATGTGCTTTCAGTATGTCTTCTCCTGCACATACCTCCAACTCCATTTCCTTCCAGGTGTGGGATTTTTGCCCTGAGCCATTCTGCTGTGTGGTTTCACAGTCGATCAAGACCATTCCTGGCCGGAAGTGGATGCCTCCGATGCTCCCAATCCAGCGAACATCTCTTCTACTATGGCTTCTTCCACCAAGGTTTGTTCTTTCGCACTGAGGATGGTCCCTTAGGTAGGATCGCGACCCGCTCCGTCTTCACGACAGTTGCATAACTGCCAGAAGCGGAAGTATCGGCCACTTTTCTTTTCTTTCCTTTGCGGTGGTGTGGTGTTATTCCCGTCCCGCTTTCTTTTCAGATTCTTAGGATTGGTTTTACTTCACTCTCCCTGGGATTTGTGTTCCACAGCTTTCTTTTTCGCTTCCTCCGTTGTCATGCCCTGTACGAGGTAGCGAAGGTACCACCGAACCCCTGCCCCACTGAGTCCATGCCTCAGTGGGTCGCCCCTTCCACCAGGTTGTCCCAGTGGAGGTAGGGAAGGTAGCTTCCGTTTGGATTCTTTCTTGAGGGGAGCTTCCCTCGCCAATGAGTGGTGAGAGGGGGACGGAAGAAGATGGAGCGATGGTGCTCCTCTTCTCTTCTCCCTTCACCTCTTTCTTTTGTTCTCCCACTTCTCTCTTGTGATGTTGTCTCACTTGAGAGGTTGAGGGAGGTTGATCGCTTCGGATGGCAGGCTCCGTTTGATCAGATTTAGTGGCGGTGTAGTCCCGCCGGTTTTTACTTTCTTTAGTTTTCTTGCCCATGTAAATCCAACGAACAGCTAGGGAAAGAAAAGTCGACCGACGCAGAGCCCCCCGCATGCGCTGGCAAGGCTGGATACAAGAGGGTTTCGCCAGGTGCCCCCAGAGGTACGTTCGAAACCGCTTTCAAATCGGCCATTCAGCCTTCAGCACGTTGCCTTACACCTTGGCTTGGGATATTGATGGAGTGTCATTTAGTTAGTTCATAGTGCTGTTCATAGAGCAGCAATATTAACGTATCCAACGGTGCCACGAGGAGGCTGACACTCGATCATTGCATTTCTCCATTGGCATGCAAAAAGAGTTACCTACAAGCGGACAAGCAAACAAGCAAGCAATCTAAGCTACAAAGCAATGGCTAAACTACAACCAACCCCACTGAAGATCAGTGCGTTATCTTCATCGCTTTCTTTTTTAATTTGAAGATATGAGGCTGTAATTTTCATAATTAGGGATTTTTCAGTTTCAGAATTTACAAATATGCATTTAGATTTCGGATCTAAACCGATTTTCTCACTTCACTTTCTTTCATTTCACGTTTATGGCGTACCGTACTCGAAAACTTAACACTGGACTGCCCATGCATGTGTCTCGAAGGGTGTAAAAATAAAAAAGTATTATCTCTTGTTTTTATAATGTAAATTAGTTTTTTTTGTTTATTAATTGGTTGATAACTAGGAATTTTAAAATTAACAAGCCTTATTATTGTAATTTAGATTCGGTTAAAAAAATATTTATCGAATGCTTTGTAGATAAAATTTTATGATAATTTTTCTTCTGTATTTTCCATGGCCTCTTAAATGGATTAGGAAAAAAAGCCAGTTATATTGGGTTTTCTTTTCAAAAAGTGTACTTTACTCTTAAAATCCTGTATTAATCTTATGTAAATGCGGTCAAATCGAGAAAAAGTCTTCTTTCTTCTTTTTTGCTGGCCTTTATCGCAAAGCCATGTGAATGCGTTACATTTTAGAATAACTATGACGATGTAAGTTTTACCATACTGAGTGAGCGCACATTTGTGCGTCTTGTGTCATCACTTCTTCCTGTTTTTATTTTCGATGCTTGTTCTTTTTTTAGGGTTTTGTAAATACGTTTTTTTTTTCTCTTATACATTATATTGGGAGTGGGTGGCTCAGTGGTAGAGTCTGCATGTGGAACCAAGGGTCCCAGGTTCGAATCCCACCGTTGGCCCCAATTTTTTCATTTAATTTAATTATTTAAAATTAATTATGATGCCTTGGTAGGATTCCCCACTCGACCATTCACTGTTGGGTTCTAATTAACAATGCTGTTCCTAAAGTGGCGCTGGGAAGCAGCAACAAAGCCTACACAGAACACAAGGCGAAATAACCTTAGCAGTTGAAGCCGATGATACACGCAAAAAAAACATTATATTTTTTTTATAAATAATGGTATGCTTCTGAGTTTACATGGCCTTTTTATGTAGGCAAATAAGTCATCTGTATGTTGGAGAATTTTGATATTTTGTGCTTGTTTCCTATTTATATTGAGGATGTCTGTTGAAATTGAAGGTGGTCATACATCATTAAGTAGCCGATTAGAATGGCCTCGAGTTTATACTGAAAACAAAACCTTTTAGTCCCAACAGTATTTATTAAATATATAAAAAATATAAATATAAAATTCCTGCTTGAAATATTTTTTTTTTTGTAGATTTAGCAGAAGTTATGTCAGTAAATGCAGCACCTCCAGCACCTGGCCCTCCTAAGAAGACGGATGATAAGTCTTTCTTTGATGTAAGAATATTTTTCCTCCAAAACGAGTTTAAAGAACAATTAGGCAATCCAATATCCTGTCAGAATGGACAAAAATGGTCGATGCTTGGCAAAAACAACAAAGTTTGTTGACCTGACTTTTTCATTAGTATTTGACTGTTATTGTAAATTATACAATTAGTATTCATATATAATCTTAATAGATAATAAATTATGTCATTTTTCAACTAAATACACCGAAAAAAACTCTAAAAATAATACAAACTTAAACTAAAAACCTCATTAGAAGTTTTTTGTCAAGGGAAGCACGTACTATTGTTGTTTTTGCCAAGGGTCTGCCATTTAAAGGCACGTGATTTAGATTGCCTAATTTGAATAAATTGCCCGCCTTAGAAAGTTCTACCCGAGAATACCGATCAAGGAAAAGCGACAGTAGCTGTTGTCAGTGCCTTTGATATCGGATGTACCTTTTTCACAGCATGACTTTGATTAATACACAACTTAGCACGCTGAGAAAACATGCTTATTTTCTACACTGAGCGAAATAGTTTGGCAAATTATCTGAAATCATTGTTATAGTTCATGCGTAAATGTTGTAATGTGATTTAATTACATTGAAGTAGTTAGGGTTAATAGCAATGGTGAAATTTTGGCACCAAAATATAATTCATTATCTAATAATTAAATATTTATTATAAAAGTAAAAGACGTTTATTATTTTAAGTATTTTATAATTTATCTATAATATTTATTCAATATTTAGTTTATTGTTAAAAATGTAATAAAAGCCCCATATTAAATTAAATTACCTTTTCCTTAAGTAAAAATAAGGTAAATAAAATTAATGGTGCCAAAAAAAATTTAGGTAACAATTAAAAAGACATTAAGTTTAAGAGATTTAACTAAATATTTGCAATGTGCTTATATTTTTAAAGCTTTTAGGTTTAAAAAGTACTTACATATTTTTAGAATTTCTTGATTTATATTTTATTAAAAGGACTTTCAAGTTTATCACTCATTTCTGTAGAAACAAGTGTTTTCACGCCAAGTTAAGCCAGATGTCATTTAAGGTTTATGTATTTAGAGTTAAATACTTGGCCTGACTATCACCCAGACAATACAAATATGTCCATTGGACGTCCATTCGATATACAATTTTGGATGTCTAGACGAACAAAAATGAGTTTTTTCTTGACTTCCGACATCCAATGGACGTCCAGTGAAGTATTCAAATGGCACACTTTTGTCCATTCAGAGGACGTCCAATTCTGGAATATATTTGGATGTCGAATACTGGACATTCAAAAAACGTCCAGGATTATATTTCCATTGAGACCACATCCCCACTTTTTTTACAGTACCGCAACTTACTACACACTATTTTATATTATTAATAATTTGTTTATTATTTTCGCAAAACGCTATATACCATTTATTTTTTTTTTTATTAAAAATCGCTTGACCTGAGCATGCATCGAACTCACGACACATCCATTATCGTTTTACACTTTCAATTGCTAGACGAGCTCGACCAAGGAACCACTTGAAAACTTTTTACTAGATACAGTTATAATTGAATAAGATTTCAAACTTCCGCTGATAGAATGAAATGCAATAGAGTCAATTTGTCAATTTTTAATGACCAGTTATATTAAAAAAAGAAGTATATATAGATGGGTATTATCTGGCAGGCTTAATAAATAATGACCTAAGATGGACGTCCACTGGACGTCAAAATACTACTAAACTTAAAATTAAGTCCAAAAACAGACGTTCTCTGGGTATCGATATTCAGCTGTCAATTTAATTAGCATAAACGGACGTACACTGGATGCCTGAATATGGACGTCCTGACCCTCAAATAGATCTAAAGTGGACGTACATTGGACTATGTGTGTTGTCTGGGCATAGACGAATTTTTAGAAATAGTACTTATTTAAGTATGCACCAATATTTCCAAAATCAACTCTAGTATGATTCATTCAATAAATGTAAATATGAATGGGCAAAACATCTTTATATTGACAAAATCGATTTTTTGTAGTAAAACACGATGGAAACACTTCAGGTAAATTTCACGCTTCATCGGGGGTTCCACAGGGATCTAACTTGGGTCCCTTGTTTTTCCTCTTATTTATTAATGATTTGCCAGATGTTATTAGATATTCCAAATGTTTACTTTTTGCTGATGATGTAAAAATATTTAAGCCTATACAAACCGTTAGAGATTGTTCAGCTTTGCAAAAAGATATAAACAGTGTATTGGAATGGAGTGCTCAATGTAAATTAGACTTTAATATTAAAAAATGCAATGTAATGTCAATTACTCGACAAAAGGATCCAATTATTTTTGATTACTGTATGGATAATGAGTCACTAAAACGGGTATATGAATTCAAAGACTTAGGAATTACGTATGACTATAAACTATCTTTTAAAAAACACATTGAAAATGTAGTAAAATCTGCAAATCACGCTCTTGGATTTACGATACGACAGACGTCTCTTTTTGTCAAAATCGATTCTATAAAATTGATATATGTTACGTTAGTAAGATCTAAACTTGAATATGGCTCTGTAATATGGAATGGAGAATACCAAATCATTTTGCAGGAATTAGAAAGAATACAAAACAAATTTTTAAGATACCTTTACTTTAAAAAATACCTTATTAGACCAGATTATAATAGTGTCAGAACAACACAATTACGAAGTGAATTTAAAATACCTTCTTTAGACTGTAGGAGAAAAATGTTTGCTATACTTTTTTTGTATAAAATCATAAATAACCATATAAATTCCGCAGAAATATTGTCAGTTTTGCCATTTAATGTACCTCCTAGACCTACGCGTTCCGCGATTATGTTTAATATTCCCTTTGTAAGTAGCACTCTTCGATCACCTCTCCTAACCATGCTCCGTTTAGCAAATAATATTACTTGCTTGCACGAAGTAGATTGGCATATGCCTCTAATAACATTCAGACACTTAATTTATAGGTATATTGTGAACTTGTCTGTTTAATTATTTTAGTTTTTCCATTTCTTTTATTATATGATTTGCTTTTTATTTTTTAGAAATTTTTTTTCTCAATATGAGTGTGTTTAATCCCCCTATATCTATATATCTATATATCTATTTATTTAATATGTATATTAATACGTTTTGATCGATTGTGTAAATAATAAATATTGTAAAGTCTATCCTTGTAATTTAGGCCAGTAAGCCTGTTAGGATGGAACAAATAAATAAATAAATAATTGTAACTTACAATTTAGCCATAATAAAGGGATTTCTCCCACTTTGACTAATCCTAATTGAAACGCGGATTTATTATATTTTTCTAAATATAATTTCAAAATAAAATAAACAAAATCTGCAGTTCATTGTTTATTAAATTTATTTAAACGAAGAAAAACATATATTTCACATAATACAATACCTACATATGAAAAATAAAATGTCAAAGATGATTAAATCATTATACTTAATATTTATGCATGTGATAAAATTCTCAGTTTCCTAATAACTTTTTGGCACATTTTATATCTGTATTAGAATACCTAAGTGTGTAAAAATCTTCATCTTATTACTACACAAAACAAACACCAAAAAATATCACCTAACATTGCTCACGTACTAAACACAACTTGGACTGACTTTGACAGATAACATCATTTTGAGTGATACACAACTTATTTTTGCACATGCGCGTTACAAAACGGTACACTAAAAACACCAAGCTGTCACTTCTCCTTGATCGGTATTCTCGGGTTCTACCCTGATCTGTTATTTGGACTAAACATAGTTAAGATAAAAGATAATAAACCAATAAATCGAAACTAAGTTGTTTATGAATATACAGACTCTAACGTCCATTATTATAAAGAGTTCAGTAATTTTTTTTAGTTTCTTTTCTCGTTTGTACATTAAAAAAAAAAACAACTACAAAATTTAATAGTCCCAAAACTCACTTTTTTGACAAGGGTACGGCTGGGCGATTATCAAAATAAATAATCGAAATAATCGAGTAATCTAAATAATCGAGCAATCGAAATAATCGAGTAATGGAAATAATCGAGTAATCGAAATAATCGATTATTCGAAATAATCGATTATTCGAAATAATCGATTATCCGAAAATAATTGATTATCTATTATTAAAAAAAATCGATTATATCCGATTCAGCTGAATTAAATTTAAAACACACTACAATATTGTGTCTTATATCTACTAAAACTTTTTTTCTGTAACCACAAATATTTGCTTTTATACCTTTTCACTTTAATAATACAGTATATTATAATATAACCTTCGTATACGTCACTTCTGTTCTGTGTCCAGTCAAAAGGATAATGGATGTGCCTAACCTATTTTTAAAGCAAATGAAATCTACATTGTTTAGTGGTAGAGTTTAACTATATATATTTTTTTTCCAGTTACGTACTAGTCGCCGTACATACAATTTTTGCGCTACCGATACAACATCAGCACAAGAATGGATTGAGAAGCTACAAGCTTGTTTATAAAACAAAAAAGAATACTCCTACCAAAGTTAGATAATTTCTATGTATTTTTTTGTAATATTAGGTAGATAAATGTTTTTTTCTATTTTTTTTTTTATAATTAAATATTTATATTTTTTTACCTTTATGATTGTTACTAGTTTAAGTATGAAAAATGGAACTATGGTCGATAGTTTCATTTTTCTTTTCAATACTGGTGCTTCTATATTTTTATTTTTTCTTATGGCTCATTCGACGTCAATATCTTTTAATATATTCGAATAATAATTCAAAATGATACGGTCACTAAAGAATTGTTTTATTTAAAAATGACCCAAAAAATGTTTATCTTCAAATATAATTTCTGTTATACTCATTTCTTGACTTTTTTAAAGTGATACTTCTGTACCCCAGACAAAATTATTAAAGATACACATGTCTATAAGTATGTAAGTAAATATTTTAAACAATTGCGTTTTTATTACCCTTTCACACACCTTTCACTAAATTCCATTTTTAAATTGTGAAGGCCTGACTAGATTGAGGTTCCTAATTAAAAGCCAAAAGCATTTAATTACATGAGGGGGCTACAGTCAGGGTTACTAAGTCTAGTAAAAAAAGAAAAAGACAATATACTTTAAATAATAGATCACACAATAGGTCTGAATATGTTGCGGTAGACTAGGTCAAGTGTTCAACTCCTATAATAGTACCAGTATAGGACCATGCAGCATCGTTTCAATTCTTGCCTGAGTTACATATCCGCAATTCTTAATTATTTGCATTCATACATGGAACGTAATAAATTTCCAGCTAACTTTATTAAATTAATAAAATATGACAGCTTAACAATTTACAGTTCAGTATAAAAGCAATGACGATATGACAAGCTTGCCTACTAGAACTTAATAGCGTTAATGTACCAATGATTATCATCTAGTCAAATACAGTGTATGTATTTAATGTTAATACGCCTCTCGGCCCAGTAGCCATTTCCTGTTTTTAAAATTGCCGCTATTTCCCGAGCGAATGCGCGGATAAATTAGGTCTTTTCCTTTGCATCGAAAGTGTAGCATTGAGCTACGCCACTTCTGAAAATATCGTTCCGTCCATACAATTTGTATAAATGGAACGATATTTTTAGAAATGGTGTAGCTCAGTGCTACACTTTCGATGCAAAGGAAAAGACCTATTGTTACTAGCCGTTAGTGTTGGGACTATCGAAATTCAACATCGATGTGACCCATGTATCGAATAAAAAACATCGATGTTGTTAATGCATTCGTAATATATACAGCATTTGAAATAGATTGACTCTTATAAGAAGGTGAATAAGTAAGAAATTTAGTATACACATTCATGAAACCCAAATTCGAGGAGACAATAAGATTATTTTTTTCATATTTGTATAAACAAAACAGGCAGTTACTTATCTACTGTTAAAAAGCAAACAATAAAATTGGATTTGATACAAAACTGCTTTTTAATAATTTAGATTGAAAAACTATTTTCAAATCTGATTTTCTACATTAATTAAAAACAACAAAATTACATCAATATCCTAAAACATATAGGCAGACAAGACAAAATAAAATGTTTCTAGAAAACAGAAATAAAAATATTAAATATTCTTAAACCAAAAGTAAAAAAAGAACTCTTCTACATATGAACATAAATTAAATACATGTTTCAAATATGATGACTATCTAAATACTAAATCATAATTTCTAATAAAATTCTTCGGTTGATTGCAAGAACAATATTTTTTTTCACCCTTTAACGAATTACGCTGCTCTGTCAATATTTGTCCTGCTTTTGAAAACAGACGAAATATATCGAATGGCTGGCTAACATCGATGTTGTAAACTATACAACAACGATGTCAGATTATAAAACATCGATGAACATCACACAGCACTACTAGCCGTTATCCGGCAGAATGAAAAATACTCTATAAACACGTTTTATGTACACGAAATGTAAATTGTTAATCTATTTGATGTGTTTAAAACAGTGGTCGCCAATCTCTCAATGTGTTGAGCTACTTTGTTAATTTTGGAATAAACAGCGAGCTACTCACACGGAAGACACGTAACGCAACGTAAATGAAATAATCCACAGTTAATTTATCATTATATGTATTTATTTTACTATTTAACTGGTAACACATAATACATAGGTACTAATAATAAACTAATAACAAAATAACTAATATTACTATTACGTACTTGTTCATAGCTTCATTTCTACCTACCAAACGAAGGTGTTTGAAAAATAAACACAAACTTTTATCCAGCCACAACGGCATGTCACGTAAGATTTAAAAATAGTTAATAATAACAACAAAAAAGTAACGCACTATCATGAATATAAACATTGAAAAATAAAAAAGCACGTTCAATGAGAAGGCTGACACTCAGACTCATCGTTAATTTTTTTAGTTTGCAGTATAATTTGATGCAGCCATTCGAATACAATTATCCAAATGTTCATCTGTAAGTCGATTGCGATATTTGTTCTCAATAAACTTCAATATTGGAAGAAGAAGATTCACACAAATAGGTTGAATTGAATAATGCTTTCACTTTCAAAGCAACACGGCATAGAACTGAATATTTGTCTTTACTTACAATAGGCCAGATTCATTTGGTACTTGAGACTAACGATTTTAAGGCTAAATCATTTTGAAACTCAATTACTTCCATTTCTGTTGCAGCGATGTCTTCGCCAAAGTTCTGCATAACACAAGTTGCAAACTGTTGGATATCAATTTCCACAAAGGGCGAAACAACAAACTGCGCTACTAAAGCCATTTCGTTGAAATCCTTAAAATTATTTTTGAAGTTATTCTTCAGGGTAGAAACTATTTCTACATATTTGCTGTCATAGGGTTCTAATGGATTTTGAGATATTTTTTCTGAAAGAATAGGAAAATGCTTGGCATCGCTGTTAATTAGGTTTTGTTCCCAAAACTCCTGCTTTTTGATAAATTCTTTTATATCAGAAATCATTTCCGCTAGTTCTTTGTCTCTCCCCTGAAGCTGCAAATTAAGTTCGTTTAATTTCTCTGTAATGTTCACGAGAAAAACAAAATCTCTAAGCCAGATTGAATTTTCTAGTTCCGGAGTCGGTTCATCGCGTTGTTTGAAAAATTTAACTATGCCAGATAGGACATCATTAAAACGTTTCAGCACCCGTCCTCTACTTAACCATCGGACTTCAGAGTAGGAGTAGGTCCCCGTATTGACAGTCAACTTCATCGGCCAAGGTTTTGAATAATCTTTGTAACGCTTGAGCTCTAATCTTGTTCACAATTTTTACCACCAGTTTCATAACGTTGTTTAGTTTCAGGAAATTTACACATAATGCTTGCTGATGGATAATGGCAGTGATAACAGAGAAATTGTGGAAAAGTTTCATCTTTACGACATAACGCCACCAGACCCTTATCACAACCCACCATAGCTGGAGCGCCATCGGTTGTCAAGCCTACCATTTTCGATATTGGAATTTTCTCGGAAGAAATAATATTTTTTAAATGAGAAAACAACTCCTGTCCAGTAGTGTGTCCTTTCAGTGGAATAAACTTCAAAAGATCTTCTTTAATCGTAAAGTCACTAAAAACCATCCTGACGAACACGGCCATCTGGGCAGTGTCAACGACATCTGTTGATTCATCCAGTTGAAGTGAAAAATAAACACAGTTATCTAAGTCAGTTCTTAACTGTAAAAAAATATCATTGCTCATTACTTCTGCACGTCTCATCACTGTATTAGCAGAAAGTTGCATAGATTTTATAGCTGAAACTATCTCGTCTTTATTTCTAAAGTTGGCAAATAACGAATCAGCAGCTTCTAAAAACGCCTGTTTTATCATTTCCCCGTCTTCATAAGGTTTTTTTTTGTGCAATTATCTGGGACACACGGTACGATACTTCAGTTGCAGCCTTATTTTTGTCGACTGTTCTTAAAAATATTGATTGTTGTCCAATTAACTGCTTTTTTAACTGTTTCAGTTTCTCCTTTCTGGTGGCAGAATGTAGTGGGAATGATTTTTCAAAATTAGAATGTACAGTTTTATGATGTCTCTCAATATTTCCTTTTTTAGCAACGGAGACCGAAGTATTACATAACAAACACACATTTTTATCTTTAACTTCTGTAAAAAAGTATTGTTCTTCCCATTCAGAATGAAAGTGGTATGTCTTTACCTTCTTACAACTGCTTGCCATATTATTTTTTGTTGTTCTCTACTAACCCAACCGCTGGACGTTGGTTACGCGTTCAGTTTTAAACTAAGCGTAATGTCGCCGCGCCGTGCGTATTTATTCCATTTAAAGCAATCCTGATCGTTCTCGAACACTAACGCGCTAGTCCGGCTGGTCGGTTCTAGCCGATTCTAGCTTGATGGCGACAGCGGCAGATCGCTCACCGCAACGTTGCCGCTGTTTATGTTTAATATTAGATTTGTGGAATTTTCGGAAGCTTCTCTGATTTTTGCAGTTTGTATTTTTTAAATTAAAATCGTTGTGAGAGCTACCAGAATTGCCTCCGCGAGCTACCGGTAGCTCGCGATCGACAGGTTGGCGACCACTGGTTTAAAACCAAATAAAGTTTTATATAAAATGGCTCAAATAAGTATTATTAATTAAAAGTTGATACAGAGTCCACAAAGAGCCAATAATAAACATGGTCTTCGAGCCGAATCGTTTTGTTATTGTGTGGGAACAGTGAGGAAGCCGCCATTTGATTGTTGCACATAAAAAAGTTGTTGAGTCCTTTCTGTTACATCCTATTTTCTCGTTTATTTAATCTGAGTAAAATCTCGTATTTGTTGAAAAATCTCGCATTTGTTGAAAAATCTCGTATTTATTGAAAAATCTCGTATTTGTTGGTTTATTTGATACTTAGCACGATTTATTAAAAAGTTTAGAATTTAAAAAATAATTATGGCCCCAAAAAAGAAGGATAATTTGCAGTTGCAAACTTTTATTGCGAAATGAAATGCATTGGAAAGACAAGTG